CGCCCGCCCCGCGCCCGCCCGCGCCGCGCGCGCCGAGCTCTCGCCGGGGACCAGCTTCTGCATCTCTGCACACGCGACACAACATGTGTACAGCTCTCTGATGAACTCGAATAATCACTTAGACACGTACATATGTTGGCACAACAGAATTCGTCACCATTTGAAATGTATAATTTCATAATTATTATTTAAAAAATAATTGAAGACCGACTTCAAAATTGAAATATTCCAATTAAAGAGGCAAAAGAGCGGGGGTCCGTCTGCGCATCGTGTACTTAGGGTTAAAATAAACGGTTCATTCATAAATTTAACATAGTTATTTATAATTAAATTAACTTCATTCGATTTCGGATTTAACAATTAATTAAGTATTAGTAATTTAATAATAGTTTTGCCCGGGACTTCGCTTGTATTATAGTCAGAAATAGCCCTATTTTTAACAGATTTCCAAAAGGTTATCAATTCATTCATTTTATATATATATATATATATATATATAAATTAAATTAGAATGCAATAAATTAATAGAGATTTTAAGTAAGTAAATATGTGCTTAAGTTGTTTTAATCATACTAGAACACACATAAAATAAAAATATTTTGTTAAGTACTTCATTCTATAAAAAATAACGCCCGATTCATCACCAAAATGTACTAGCGGTAGGAACTTCATCTTAATCATTATCATATGAGTCATAATCGATATAATCTTTATATTCGATATCCGGTATGCGATCTTCGTTCAATTCGTTCATTCTTAATCAATTTAAATCAATTAATTCATTTACTTTATGTTATTTTTTATTTTATCATTATTATTTGGCTACTTTACTACCTAACACTGTATATATTTTCATTTTGAGAATAAAGTTGAAAATATTACGATATTATAACCTTGTAATAATACTAAGTTGATAAATAGCTATCCAAAACTACTGGAATTTGGCAGTATTGCAATAAAACTCTAACCAGATTTCCTTAAAGAACACAATGAACTATATTAGCTCGCAAGTCACATCAGTCTACATTCGCGCAGATCACACACATCAATAGAAATAATCTGTAACAAAATGTTCACAAATACATCTATGACATACATACTTTATAAATTTATTCATTCAACAAAAACAAACAATATAAATTGAATGAGGTTGATAAAAAAAGTGTGACTAATAAAATTGGACAAAAGTGTAGTTTGTTGCAGTGATGCGCGTGCACAACACAGGGAACCAATCACAGCTGACCGCATATAACGCGACACAGGAAGATCCAATCACGTAATCAACATGACAGTCGTCACCTCGTTCCGCAAAACAGACCCAAAAATTGACTTTTGCACATGTCAAGGTCAGAGCTCAAGACTCGTACCGATTATACACAGAATAAAATACAACTTAATAAATTTAATACTAGGGGGGTCGCTCGAATAAAATAATTCGATTACTTGACCTTCATTATAATATAATTAAGGTCATTACATTGTGGGAACCTTTAATTGGCTTTTTGTTTCTATTATTTGTTATATTATACTATTTTTACGCCGGTACCAGTAACGCCATCTATCTCCAAATAGTCGAAGGACCTAGTAGCACCTAGAACGCTCGAGAAGTACAACGCCATCTATAGTCAGTAATCCGAACTACTCGAAGCGAAATAGCGAACGGATCACCTGAAGCGAAGCGGAACAAGCGAATTAAGAGGTTTAAAGTGTTTGTGAAGCGTTTAAGTGTACTAAGTGTTGAATACAGTTTTAAGTTGTACTTTGGTGAAATTTTATTTATCCCGAGCCCCAGCGCGTAACACTGCTTGTTGCAGCAATGTTTGTTGGCTGTTGGTTTTCCTTGTAGTAAATAAATAAATAAATAATTAACTCGGCGGACAACCAGTACAATAATGCATTAAGTTACACTGACCGTCCAGAGTCATCGTCGGCAGCGCGTGCAGCTGGTGGTGCGCGGTGGCCAGCAGCTTGTCGTGGTGCTGCACGCGCGCCACGCCCAGCTGCAGCAGCCGCAACAGGCAGCCGCACGCCGCCACGCCACCCCACGGCTCCGCGCCCCCCCACGGCGCCGCCGCCCCCCACGCCGCCGCCTCGCGCCCCGCGTCCAGCGACATCATGTTGCGCCCGTACGTCAGCAGGTTGCACACGATCTGACGCAGACACATGTGACGTCACACAACAAACGTAAGCGAGTACGTATAGGTGACACTTCAAAAATAAAGGAATAAATATTAAATTTATATGCTTTTGTGCGACTCATTAAACATATATGGCGACAACTAACAAACATATTTGATAAGAATCTGAATTTCGCTATCGAGATTTTGAAAGTAACCTTCTCAATCCATCACGTGCAAAATAATTCAGATAATCAATAATAAAGGTAAATCCAGATGCTATTTCGATTGTACGAATAACGCCATCTGTCGTCACATAGCAAAAACGGATATCGAAACAACTGCAACATCTCTTGAATGTTAGGGAACGTTACTAACTACATTTCATATCACGTCCTCTAATGTTATTATTAACTTATCATCACACCTTGTAATACAGCAGGTTCGCCTGCGAGTCGTCGTCGTCGTCCGGTCGGAGCTGGTGGGTGTGGAAGCGCGTGAGGAGCTGCAGCATGAGGGGGCGCAGCGCGGCCGCCGCCGGGAGCTGCTCCAGCAGGTCACGGGACGACGCCCGGGACACCACTGACGTCACCGCCTCCACCTCCACCAGCAGCCCGGGGGACGAGCTCGGGTGAGCAGCTCTGCAATACAATCATCTCATCAATAGTATTATTGCTTCTTTCTGTATATATGCGCTGGTCCGATCAGATTAAGACAAATTTGGAATCCAGCATCAATGTCGCTACCCACTGCGCGGAGGACAGGAGTGAATGGAGGAACAACAAAAGTGCTCAGTAAAGGTCACGACCCTCAGAACTGAGGAATACGACGCACGGAGGGATATATAATTCTACTCGAACCTGTGTTGACAGGAAAAGTATTGTATTTAGCGTGTGGAGACATTACTCCTGGAGCAGGACAAACGGATTGCGGTACCTCAGCACGAGCTCGACGGTGTTGCGGTGCGCCAGCAGCGCGTGCATGACGAGCACTACGCAGCTGTGGTTGCGGGCGCCGAGCGCGCTCAGCAGGGCGGAGCTCAGCGACAGCGCCGGCACCAACATCTGGCGGAACCTGGCGAACAACACCGCTCTCAGTGCTCGGCACAAATCAATAAGCACGTTAGTCTCCCGGCAGAAGTAAGCGGGGCAGTGAGCTCTGACGTAATGAGTCGTTCGTCTATTCTCTACTAGATGGCGTTATTGTTTGCTCTAGTGGTTATGGCTACTGGTTGCCCCCGGGATGGCTCTCTTTACTTATCTATGCAGCTGTAGTAATGTTTCAGTGTAATTTACTTTAAATATAAAATATCGAATCCTGACACTCGCATGCACAAACAGGTATACAACAGAAAGAGACCGAGAAAGTCTCATGAAAAAAGCTTAAAGAATAAAGCTTTTTCCTTCCGTGACGATTTGTATAAGATAGTTAAGCCCTCAGACGACAGCGCGGCGGTATCGTTACCTTTTGGCGACCGACGGTATGAAGTCAGTGTCGGGGTGCTGCTCGTAGCCGGTGTGCACGTCGGGGTGGCAGTCCAGGGCCTGCAGGTTGGCGACGGTGGACAGCGCGCCCTGGGACAGCAGCGTCTCGGCGCCCACTCGAGTGCCCGCCATCTTGATCAGCAGCGCCATCTTCGATTCGTACACGTATAACACTCGGAGTGACTTTGGGTTCGGTTCAAGAGCCTGAAAATTATTATTCATTGTGATTATTGACATCCACCAAATTGAACTCTACCAATTTAATATATTAAATTATCATTAATTCTCATATATTCTATGTACCTATGCGACCAAGTTTCTTAGAATATTTATATAACCTTCATATTGGCCCAAATGATCGAAATTCAACCATAATCATAACAACTCAATACATAATAAAAAATAGTAACAGCAAAATTAAGCCATCAAACTACTGTCATTTTATGCATTACTTTATCTCTTTAGTTTTGTTTTTGTAATTATTATGTGTGTGAAGTCATAGGATGGCCGGGTTGTGACATATATTATATTTTATAATAAAACGACGAGCTCTGCGTGTGACTTGTTTTAATGGCGGAAGTAGTCTGCCTGTATTGCCATAGATTAGGTACATTCTTTACCTGACATCTCCCCTTTTAAGTTAAAGACTAAGCTTATTTTTAAGGTAAGTACAATACTTTTCTTATATGACTAATTTCCTTAGTAGCTAAGACATTATGAAATATGACTGACTATTTACAAACAATACTTAAATTAATATCTTATGAACTTATGACTAATAATTACAAAAGCGTTGAGGAGGTCTAATAATACGTCCGGAACGTGTTGTTTTCGGTAATTGACTAATATCTTTTCCTTTTTTAGGTATCACTGTTTCTTTGGAGACTGGAACTACAGGTTTTAGTATGTGCTCCCGATTTCTCCTGAATGTTCCTTCTGGGGACTGAATAGTATAACTACGAGGTTCGTTTTCTGCTTGTATTCAGAAACAATACATATTGTGGTTCTGGATAAAAGACCTTTGGCTAATGATGGTTGCCATCGACGAAAGCGCCATCTACAAATTCAATAAACGTCATACGTCAAACCACATTGACAGCAAAAACGTCATTCTATGTAATTTGTGTCACTTCATTCATTATTCATAACTTTCGAACGTAACGAACTAACAGCCTCTTTTTGTAAAATCGAGGGTATACGTAATAATACACCTTTATTGTAAAAAATCGAAAATATACGAAATTATACCGTAAAACGAATTCTCCTTTTGGATATCCTCCGTTCCTGCGTCTACATTTGTTCCTACGAGACGGATTGATTAGAAGAATTGTCAACCAGCGAAGCGNCTTATGGTCAGTTTCAACTTTAATTTGTCTCCCATATACATACTGGTGGAACTTTATACAACCAAATAAAATAGATAAGAGTTCTTTTTCTATTTGTGCATAATTTTGTTGACTTTTAGTTAATGAAGCTGAGGCATATGCTATTGGCTGATTATCATGTAATATGACTGCTCCCATGGCGTTTTTAGATGCATCGACTTCCCACTTCTGACACCATGTGAAGTCATAGGATGGCCGGGTTGTGACATATATTATATTTTATAATAAAACGACGAGCTCTGCGTGTGACTTGTTTTAATGGCGGAAGTAGTCTGCCTGTATTGCCATAGATTAGGTACATTCTTTACCTGACAATGTGAAGTAAAAATAAAATTTTTCCCTAGGTAATATTTTTGAAACATTGACTACATACTAAACAAACAAATAAAATAATCGGTTGAGAAATAGATCAAAGCATGGTACATAAATATGTTATCCTAAAAAACAAACTAATATTTTGCATAATCACGAGAGTTGTTGTGTCAGCGCTGAGTTAGTAACATATGGAGAACCAACAATAAAAAATTACACACTAGTTCATATAAAAGCAATCTTTGCAAAAGTACTAAATTCGACCACAATATTCAAACAAAACAGTTGTAATCCCAATGTGTCTCTTCCCGGATTATCTACATAATCTTGACATGATAAAGATGAAATTTAATAAATACAATATCATCATGAGAAATAAAGAATTGAATTAAACTTGTCAAGTGTGACACTGAATGATGAAAAAATGCCTTTAAGTCAGAGAATACAGATAGATGAATATAGATTTCAATAGAGAAAATCATTTAAATAAATAGAGCCATTTACAAATTTAAAGACGTATTGCTTGTTTCCCTAAACATACGAAGAACCATAAAAAAAAAATTTTGAACATAAACAAGTTTATGATACCTTAATCTATACTAATATATAAATCTACAGTGGTTTTACGGATGTTCCGTTATAACTACTGAACCGTGCATTCGATTGACTTGAAACTTGGTATCCATGTAGAAAATACATGTACTTAATGGATAGGCTAATATTTATATGAGTGTTGGACTCCCTACGCCAGTTGCGGAGGTGTTAATGATGAGAATCTTTGTGGAGGTGAGAAATAATAACGTTAATTTTAAATGCCCAGTGAAGCAGACAGGTACAGCTAGTCATACATAAAGTTATGCAAAAAATATAATATCAGACTCACCTCCTTTAGGCCTTCATCGTCTTGCAGCAGACTGTCGATCAAACTCCTCAAATAGCCTTGATTGATGAGTACATTCATCCAGTCAGTCCGAGGATTGATTTCAATGAGCGTCTCCAGGCAGGCCAGCGCCACCATCCTGCACACGTCCTGCCCCGCACTTATACAGTCGCCGCACACTATCGCACACAAGTTCTCGCCGAATTCACTGATCACATCCACCACCATGGCTTTCAGAGACGAATCTTCGCTCTTCTCCTTCGCTTTGGAACTGTCGAGCCTGCTGACGTACGTGTCGTTCAATTCTTGCTCGGGCTCCGCTGGACTGGGCTTGAGGTTCACTATGTTCAAGTAGTTGAGCAGGGCTCCGTACAGATTGACCCGCATATTCTGACTAGCCCCGCCTGACACCAGTATCCAGCTCAATATTTTGTTTAGTATGAATTTTAACGTTAACGAATTCGTTTGCATGATCTGATTTGACGGCCCGAAGAATGAAGTCTCGAATTCTGAGGACGCGAGGTTCGATTCCCGCTTCTGTAAGATGTAGCAGTGGCGCAGATTGACCATCAGCAGCAGCACGGTGCCCGAGGCCAGGTTGCCGAGTTGCGGCAGGACCTCGTCGGGTGGTATCTTGTTGAGTAGGTCCTGTAGGATATTGAGCAGCAAGTTCTTTCTGGCTTCGAGGTTGAGAATGTCGTGAGGAGCTACACAGAACAGCATCTCTGTGAGCTGGCGCCACGAGTCGTAGTAGTGGGTGAGCGTGGCGGCGAGGTTGCGCTGGCGGTTCACCTCCGTTACGTAGTCTAAAACCTGTCCAAAAATATTGTTGCATTAATTCTACATAATTTTGATGTATTTTTTTATCCCATATAAGTGGTCACGGCTCATGTGAGATAGTGAACTTAAGGGAAAAAAATTACCTTATTTTGGTCAATATTATTTTTCATCTGAAAACAGAATCTGCTACTAACAATGGAAAAGCAGTAGTAAGTATGCAGTGTTGTGCTCGGAATCTCTACTAAACAACCTATTATTATATAATATCTTTTAATCTACATATTAATGAACTGTAATGTATTTGTTTTATTTAAAAACAAAATATCAATAAATAAGATGTATGAGCGATGCACCTTTTGTATTTCTAGTTTGACGAGGTTCCTCTGCGGCGCCGTAGCGTTGAGCGCGGCCAGCTCGCGCGCCAGCAGCGCGTGCACCCGCGACACGCTCACGCGCCGCCCGCCCCCACCTGCACGGTTCGAGACGTTGTTCCCGTTAACCTTATCATTAACGTTTATAATATAATATTAAGTATTGTTATCACGGAAGAACCACCGAAATATTATAACTGACAAGTTATAATGATATAAATGTCACTGATCATTTTAGTATGTAAATTCAAATCTATAATGTATAGGACCTGTGGGCAGGTCACAGGATGCGATGGCCTGTCGCAGCTGCTGCGCGTGGAACAGTTCCCAGCGCGGCTCGCGCACCTCCTGCACGGCGACCGGCAGCTCCTCCAGCGTGCGGCGCAGCAGGCACCACTCCCAGTCCTGCGCGGGCGGCGCGGCGGCGGCGCTGCGGCCCGTGAGCGCGGCCAGCAGCGCGGCCAGCGCGGCGTGCTGACCCGCGCCCGCCGCCGCGCCCGCCGCGCACGCGCACGCACGCAGCACCCACGAGCGCGCCGACACGGTCACGGGCGACGCACTCTATACAACACAAACACAAATATTGCTTCGTAACTTGTCGATTCTACCGCCACAATAGTTCAAGCTAGTTCCAGTGTGAAAAAAGGAGAACTTATTTTTCATTTCTTTTTTCCAATCTCACGTAGAGTCGCTCTTGGCGCCGTGCCTGTGGTATAGGACTCACCCAGCCGAACTCGTGGACCGTCTAGTCTCTGTCACGTGACTGAAACAGTTTACCTTGAGATCCACATTGTGCTTGACGTGTCTGCACAGGAAGTAGTCCCTGGACCTCAGGAAGCGCAGCGTCGGTGCTGAGGTGTTCGGCCTCGCGCACAGCCGGTACACCAGGCGATAGCAGCTCTCGACTAAGTCGGTCGCTTCTCTGTTATCAGAATACATGTGTTGTATAATTTTATATACATAATAATATAACTTGTAAAGTTTTGACCAGAGATTTTTTAATATGTATGAGCACACTCGGATTATTATTAAGTGGACGTCATTACGCCTCTTTGAAAAATTAGGCGTTTTTGAGAACACATGACTGAAACATGGAAATTTTGGCTCATTTTATATAATATTATAATTTTTCTTTTATTTTCTTAATGTGATTTTTTTTCTTGTAAAGGAAGCATAAGGTTCTCCTTCTCTTTTTTATTAATAATACTAAAGCTCGTCAATAGCTTGTACACAAAATAAAAAAGAAAATCTTAAATGTTTTTTTATGTTTGAGATGTTACTGGTAGCCCGGAGGCCTTTCCAGTTTTACCAGGCCCCTGGCCTGGGTGAGATTTGTTAACAGCTGCCCGAGCGCCTCCAAAGGAGACCTATCAACTTAAGAGTAGCTGCTTCGCGAATGAATCCACTACCGGATCGTACTCGCGATCCGCTGAGAAGATCCTACGAGAAACTCAGTGGCATCTTAAATGTATGAATAGCCCACTCATTGGAACCCCACGCGAGGCATCTACGCGCCGATAGTACCATGACAAAAATATGAAACGGCTCTAGCAAGTCTTAGATCATAGGCATAAATTATCAACAAACAACCACACAATCGCACAGTTTTGCATGTATATATTAGAAATTATGTTTATTTTGTTGATTTGTTGTTACATAAAATCAGCAAACACACTGTCGTACTAAATGCAGAAGGTGCACCCAGCGCGGTCGGGCCAACGGTCCTATGATGAATATCGTGTAGAGCAGGGGCTCTCAAATTTATTTTGTCTACTGCCCACTTTGAGAATAAATTATTTTTTACCGCTTCCATTTTTTCACCTACTATAACATTAAAGCGAGAGCTCAGTCGGTGTCTAAAAGTCCTCCTAGATAGATGAACTACCCTACTCAACACCCCCATTTTATTTCTGGGTCTCTTACCGCCCCCCTTTAGGCCTGCAGCGCCCACAAGGGGGCGTTATCGCCCACTTTGGGAAAGGCTGGTGTAGAGGCACCTGTTAGGGGAGTGTCCGGCAATGTGCTGGTCCAGCAGGTCCAGTATGGAGTGCAGGCAGGTCCGGGGGAAGCCCGCCACTCCCGGCTCGTGGATGGCACTCCGGGATATCTGTGTCACGAAAACATATCGCACATAATTATGGTGCTATAAAGTCTCTTATGCAATTTTTGTTACACTGAACTAAGTATGAGAAAATACATTTTTTAATAGTTATTAGTGAGACGAGAGAGATTTTGCTTTTACTGATGAAGTTGTGGTTTAAATATTATCATTTTATTTCTATAGCTTAGCAGAACTATGTAAGAATTATATAATATAATCTTATTAAATTATTATTATTATTATATATATATTTTTTTGTTGTTGTTGCACTGTCTATTGCAATTGAGGTGACATCTGCCATGAACTTTTATCATCAATTTGGTTGATGATCACTTTGTTGGTGCAACTTCATAAATAAAAAATTATATATTTCTCCTGAAAAATTACATAATTTGCATAAGTACCGTTATCGCACCGTATGAGCGATATATATACTCACTATTCTAATGTAATGAACGGGTTAGTTGATAGGAGCAAACAAAATTATCAACTCACGTCTTCAGTGAGCTGGTATCCCAGTAGGAAGTGCGCGAAGTTGGGAGGGGCCGCGGGCAGCACGTGGTGCAGCAGCGAGAGGACGCCCTCCTTGGCGCGGCGCAGCGCGGCGTCCTCCCCGCCGCCCCCGCTCCTCCACTCCTCCGCTTCCAAGCACTCCACGAACCCGTGTCTGGTGCAACAGATACTGTGACGTTAGCGAGGCGGACCTGACGCAGTCGACTGGCGCGCACATACACCAGTGGAAAATAGAAATTTAATTATAAATTTGAAAATATTTAAAAAATATTAATTTAGTTAAAAAAACAAAAACAAAATAAAGAATCTAACTTGAGGTGTCGGTGATTCTGGTCGAATTTTGATCATACCAGTAATTACAATATCCAGACATATCTCTTACTTCTTTTCCGCTGGATGTGTTGTTGCCCACACGAATAGGTATCTAAATTCCGTCTGCCTATATTGCGAAACTATGAGTTGTCTCACTTTGAAGAGTGATGAATGAAACCGAGTATCTATCTCAAAACGTTACTTACTGGTGGTAGGACCTCTTGTGAGTCCGCGCGGGTAGGTATCACCATCCTACCTATTTCTACTGTAAAGCAGTAATTCGTTTCGGTTTGAAGGGTAGGACACTATCTTAGAACTTATATCTCAAGGTGAGTGGCGCATTTACGTTGTAGATGTCTATGGGCTCCAGTAACTACACCAGGTGGGATGTGAGCTCGTCCACCCATAAATGCAAAAAAAAAAAGAATGTGGTCATTAACAGCCGATCCATACTTATGGGAAACGTTAATATATAGCTATAAGATATCTTTACTCGGTTCAAAAATGGAACATGCATTGTTTCTGACAGTGAGGGGGGGGCGGGGACGCACCGGATCTGCGCGGCGAGTGCGGGCGTGCGCGTGGCGGCGGCGAGCACGTGTCGCGCGGCGGGCGGCTGCAGCGCGGCGCGACACAGCAGCTGTACGGCGCGGCTGGCGGCCAGCGGCGCGGCGCCGGCCAGCCCCGCCACGCGGCAGCACGCCAGCAGGCGGCAGCCGCTCTCCGCGCTCTCAGACTCTGTAGGCACCGACCACAGGTTGTGTCACTTTACCAACTCCTTTATTATTTTGATATTGTAATTGCCACAGTGCTCAACTGTGGTGTGTTTATAAATAAAACTGTTAGAAATTCAATACACCGTCATCTATTAGATACTTAGCCAGCCCGGAAAATAAATAACTCATACCGACATTTGTTTTGAAACTTATAGAACTCACAAATATCTCTTTGTAGGTTTTAAAGAAATAATTTGCAACAAAGAGATATTGTGATTATAAATTGGTATAAAAACTACCCTATCCCTCAAGTTGGACCTAACAAGCCACAGTGTCCAAAGTACAAAAATTGATCCCGGACAAACAACATGATACAATTTTTTATATATTTAAAGATAACAAAGAAAAACATACCGAGTATAAGTTTGGAGAGTCCGATGATAATGACAGATTTCCCCGCCTCCAGCGCGGCCGCGCCCAGCTCCCGCTCGAGGGCGAGCGCGCGCTCCAGCATCTCCAGGACGCTAATGAGGCACTGCTCCACGTACTCCTGGAAGTTATTTGATCTCGCTGTAGTCCTATAATATTTACATAGATGTTTCGCAGATACTATCTAGTTGTGGCGCCGTTAGGGAGCGCGCACCGCACCGCCAAGAACCTGCAATTCCCCAGAACTGGTGGTAGGACCTCTTGAGAGTCTGCGCGGGTAGGTACCACCACCCTGCTTATTTCTGCCGTGAAGCAGTAATGCGTTTCGGTTTGAAGGGTGGGGCAGCCGTTGTAACTATACCTGAGACCTTAGAACTTATGTCTCAAGGTGGGTGACGCATTCACGTTGTAGATCTATGGGCTCCAGCAACCACTTAACACCAGGTGGGCTGTGAGCTCGTCCACCCATCTAAGCAATAAATAAAAAAAAACATTGGCAGCTTCATGACGCAAGCTAAGAAAATTATTTTATAAAACGCCAATTGAAATAAGACAAAAGGCACTAAATAATGTGCTTTACCTAGAAGGTTGGCAACATCAATGATTACTTCAGATTATTTTTATTCTAATAAAGTATAATTTTTACAGACGACTCTTGTTCCTCTGTTAGCCGCAACAGGATGCCCGCACGGTAGCTACGCAATACGAAAGCTCTCACATTCGCAGATCCAGGCTGCTTCTCGAGCAGTTCGTAGGTTTGGTCGAGCGAGGAGAGCAGCAGCCGCAGCAGCTCGGACTTGGTGTGCAGCTGCAGCAGGATCCTGAAGCCGGGCGGCGCCGGACACTCCGCGTCTCCGCCCGCGGAGGGGAAGTCTGCGGGGGAGGGGGTGTACTGCTCCAGCCACGTGCCGAACAGCCGGAAGCATTGGGATAGGATCTGAAACGTATTTCAACAGTAGTAGTTTTATTACTAGTGGTAGGACCTCTTGTGATTCTGCACGGGTAAGTACCACCCCCCTGCTTATTTCTGCCGTGAAGCAGTAATGTGTTTCGGTTTGAAGGGTGAGGCAGCCGTTGTAACTATACTTGAGACCTTAGCAGTTATATCTCAAGGTAGGTGACGCATTTACGTCGTAGATGTCTATGGACTTCAGTAACCACTTAACACCAGGTGGGCTTTGAGCTCATCGACACAAGTAAGTAATAAAAAAAAAAAAATAGGAGCGCATTTAGGAACATAAAGCCACTCTTTTTGATAAACATACAATTCACAGCAGAGCCTTGTTACTAATACGTATCGCCAGCCGTATTTTAAGTTCCGGACTGGCGCCCAGTGATCAGTCGGCAGTAGTGCGAGGCTCGTACCTGCCACTTCTCGTGCGGGCGGGCGTAGGGGCGGTGCGGCGCCGGCAGCGCGAGGCGCAGCAGCGCGTGCTGCACGTAGGGCTCCACGCCGGCCGCCAGCGTGCGGGGCGGGGGCGCCGCGCTCAGCGACTGCAGCAGCGACAGGAAGGCGCGCGACAGCGGGTACTCCTCGATGCGGCACTCCACCTGACGACACCGACATGTCTCAACCTGCTCGTGCGGTTATATCTAACGAATGTTCCTCCGACGATCATTGACTCGCGTCTTTCAAATGTTTTCTTTTCTTTTGTTTTTGACATTTTGTAGAAAACGATTTCCAAAAAATAAGTAAAGTTGTCCAATCTATATTAATATTATAAAGAGGAAAGATTTGTTTGTTTGTTTGTATTGAACAGGCTCCGAAATTACTGAACCGGTTTGAAAAAAATCTTTCACTGTTTGAAAGCTACACTATCCCCGAATGACATAGGCGATATTCTTTTCTTTTTTTAAATAGGGATCCTTGCTAAAACTCCAATAATGTAACCCAAGGTTATTCAAAACTATCTTTATAATTTTCTTTTTTTAGTAAGTAGACGCAAATAAAAGGGTTGATGTGTGTGTATTATGATTGTTAATTTGGATTTTTTTATTAAAGACCCGAGCGAAGCTGGAGCGGGCCGCTAGTATGAGATAAAGGAAAACCTTGCCTCCTGCAGTTCAGCGTTGAGCGCCCGCTTGTCGTTGGTGAGGGAGACGAGGCGGGCGGCCTCCAGCCCGGCCCACAGGCGCGGCGCGGTGCAGGGCCAGCCGCCCAGCGCCGCCAGCGTCAGGCACAGCTCCGCCTTCAGCTGCAGCGGTATGTGGCAGCACATCAGCCCTGCGGAAGAAGAATATCGACGCTTGAAAGGCAAACGTGAATAAGCGACAATGCGTGAACTTTACAGTAGACTAATTTAAAGTTGAAATGCCTGAAAAAAAATTCTATTTTAACGAATCTAGCTGTAGGATTGGAATGATTTTAATAGACCTAGAAACATATTTTTTTTGCGCATCGAATATGGTTAATGCCTATTATTTATGTACAAAGCAGTTATTGTCGCTTAGTCACGTTTGCCTTTCAAGCGTCGATATATTGTCTAAGTTTCTCGTCACTCGTATTGTGTTAGTGGCATGTCCTAGTCGCGCCGAGACTGTCGCGTCGTTTGTACCAACTCGAACACGCTGACACTATGTAACTATTTATACGTTATGGATTAAAGAATCGGCTTCCAAAATGGTTCACGGTCTATGAGCCGCTTCAATTGGATCGATCTTCTGTAAATTACTTTTGTTTGCTTGTAGAACGCAATGATTACATTACACATGATCATAGATAAGTAAACAGATAGTCACGTCCGTGCATTGCAGGTCACTACGTACGCTCGGCGGCTGCGCCCGCTGGTCTCACTCATTTTACTGTGACCGATGTGGCCACAAATTATCTGTTTGCAAAAGCTCAGGCGTAAGTCCGCCAGTACAGCGAGAAGTGAAACATTTACAACCAATTTTTTATTTGTTTTTTTTATCGCCCATGTAGACAGACGAACATACGACCTAATAGTGCGTGGTTATCGTCGCCCATGGACTTCAGGGATGCCAGAGGCAGAGTCAAGCCGTTGCCCACCGCTAAGTACTCTCCACCAGCCTCGTTTGAAGCAGGACATGTCATAGCACTCGAGAAACACCGTAGTGGGGAACTCATTCCAAAGCCAGATGGTACGTGGCAGAAAATAATTCTGAAAAGGCACTGTGGACGAGTGGCTCCAGATAGTATGGAAGGTTCAGCTGTCGTGGTTGCGTTGTACCGATGTGCGGAGCGCGGCGGGCACGCACCGAACATGTTGTTGACGGCGTCCCACTGCAGGTTCTCGCAGATGGCGGCGGCCGCGGCCTGGTCCTCGCGCGCCACCCCCGCCAGCAGCTGCAGCGCCGCTATCATCGCCTCCACCTGCCCGCGAACAACAGACATCAATTGCATTTACAATACCGCCACAAAGAAGCCTCAATAAAATATTGTTACGCCGGTAAGAGTAACGTCATCTATCGCCGAATAGTCGAACCAATATCAAAGGATCTAGTAGCACCTAGCACTCTCGAGAAGTACGACGCCATCTATTGTCAGATAGCGGAAACAATACTAGAGATGTGTGGAATATTCTCGATAATTCTAGGGATGTGGTATCGACTATAAAAACGTTGCAGGGATGGCACGCAGTCAGTCAGTAATCGGAACTACTCGAAGCGAATGAAGCGAATTGAGAATTTTAAAGTGTAGTGAAGTGTATTGAAGTGTCCTAAGTGCTAATACAGTGTTAACTTGTAATTCAGTAGAATTTATTTATCCCGAACCCCAGCGCGTAACAATATACTCAATCGTTACGACATAAAGATTTAGTTCACTTGCAGACTTTACGGATCCTGTGGATTCCAATGAAACCACTGGATCTATGTTACACTGTATTAAACGTTACAATTTCATACAATAGCTACAGCCGCGTCTTCACAAGTCCATTCCGTTATCCCCACCACTTAAGAAATCCGATCCATAGTTAGGTTCAGACCTCCGCGGTCACGGATTACTGTTCCCTTGTGCCCTTGGAGCGCGAGCGTGTCTTCGGTACGATCGAGTTGGAACCTTGTTATTGGGACTCCGGGGGAGGGCTTTTTTACTGTGTCATCACAACATGGCAGATGTCGCGAGAGTAATTTCACAAATGAGCGTTTTTTAAGGATTAATTTTCATTGTATCAATTCTCCTTACCTCTTCCTGTCGGATGAGCAGTTTCCCCGGCCTGGCTGCCGGAGTGACGATTGCCGTGGCTCCCAGCGACGAGGAGTGTAGCGCGTCCGAGAACGGCGCGTGGTCCGTGCGCAGGTTCCTGTGTGCGCGACAACCGCAGCTGAGTAGTTACTTTTAATAATATTGTTACGCCGGTAAGAGTAACGCCATCTATCGCCCAATAGGCGACCTAATATCGAAGCATCTAGTGGCACCTAGAACGCTTAAAAAATACAACGCCATCTATTGTCAGATATCGGAAACACAATACTCGAAATGTGTGAAGTATTCTCGATAATTCTAGGAATGTGGTATCAGCTATAAAAGCGTTGCAGAGATAACACGCAGTCAGTTAGTAATCGGAACTACTCGAAGCGAAACAGCGAACGGATCACCTGAAGCGAAGCGGAAAAAGCGGATTGAGAATTTTAAAGTTTTTGTGAAGTGTTTTAAGTATTCTTAAGTGTTGAATTCAGTTTTTATTGGTACTTTGGTGGAACATTTATTATTAATCCCGCACCCCAGCGCGTTACAATATTACTAACTGTATCGTATACAGTACAGCGCCCAGGTGTGCGTGCGTGTGTACGTACGAGTGGTATCTGGCGAGTGCGAGCAGCATGTGGTGCGCGGAGAGCGCGTCGCGGCGGGAGAGCAGCGCCCAGGTGTGCGTGCAGACGGCGAGCGAGGCCATGGCCTGCAGCGCCGCGCTGGAGGCGGCGCCCCGCACGAACTTGTACAGCGAGGCCGCGCGTCCGCCCCAACTGTACACAACATACTTGATCATAATATGAACTTTTTAAAAAGTAAAATTAACATTTTTATTAGGTACTGCTCCGACAGGCTGAAAGATAAAGCTGTAGTTTACTAAGGGGGTTTAATGGTTTAACACTTTCTTATCATACATTTGATTAACATGAATTTAGAAAAAATAAGTACATAGTATATAATATACTTAGAAAAATCAATTATATATTTTACTACAATTTGAAGATAAAAAATTGTTATCTGTTGCATCACTGCAAGTGTGGGAGGGCGGGTGTCGTACCGCGGCTGGTGCGCGGGGCGGCACGGCTGCCAGTAGTCGTCGCGCAGGCGGTGCGGGTCGCGCGCGTACAGGCGGCGCACGCAGCGCAGCAGCGCGTCCAGGCGCGTGCGCGAGCCGCCCGGCGCCGCCAGCCCCTCCAGCGCGTACGCCTGCACCGAGCGCGCCGCCTCGTCCGCCCTGCCGCCGCGACGCGTTGCAACAACAACATACCCCATATTTACGTCACGTAAGACGACTAAACACAATAATTGAATAATCGATTTTTTTGATTAGAATTCCTTTACACTGCTTATTGCGTTACGTGTTATAAAATGTGCTAAAATTATGTATATCTTTATTTTTTCCATGTTGGTGACGGTATGTACACCGGCTCCGTGGCGGGACTCACTTGACTCTCATCTCCATCAGCTTGGAGTGCATCAACACTATGAAGTCGGTGATGAGCGAGTGTATGCGGCGCTGGTAATACTCCTCTTTGGCCACGTAATCTGTCGAGAGTATCGCCTCGTCCAGGTACTCGAACACCTGTACAATAACATAAGTACAGATCGTCATTCGTGGCTACATTTACCATACTTAATTTTTATCATTTACTGCCAGGTGTCTTTGTATACTATACATAATTAGTTAATTGTAACCATACGCTAAAGGTACTCTCTTTTCTACAGCGAAACAATCATAGTATATTTTTTTTGGTTGTTGCTTAGATTGGTGGACGAGCTCAGAGCCCACCTGGTGTTAAGTGGTTACCAGATTATTATTATTATTATTATTTTTTCTAGTAGGTGAGCTCACGGGGCTCAAACCTGACGACGTTGCTGACACGGACCCTACTAGCAAGAGCCGTGCTTCGCAGAATCTACCACTAGATCGGAAACGCGACCCACTGAGAAGATCCGGCGAGAAACTCAGTGGACTGTGTCTGAGGGTTAATTTACTCGTCGAGCCCTTCGTCGCAAGCGACGGGTTCGACGAGAACGATGACTGGTGTTACCAGAGCTCATAGACATCTACAACGTAAATGCGCCGCCCACCTTGAGATATAAGTTCTAAGGTTTCAATACAATGAGTAATGATGATATAGTACAATGAGACTTCGCTGCTGGCTACTGCTCGAGGAGTGTGAGCGGACCTTGGCGTCGATGGCAGCGTCGACCAGCGTCTCGTCGTGGTCGAGCAGGTCGGGCGCGGGGCAGTGCGGCGCGGGGGCCCGCTTGAGGGCGGCCAGCGCGAGGCCGAGCGCGAGCTGGCACAGCGCACGCGCGCCGCCCGCCGCCGGCTGCTGCGGGCTCAGCTCCTCCACCAGCACCGATATTAGTTCCGGATCTTGGATCAATGGCAGCTTCTTTGCTAGTTCCTCGCCGTCTTCTCGTCTGTTATACAAAGTAGTCATACATTACAAAATAAAGCTAAACAAATTAAGCCCTGATGACATTATTGATTAAACAAAGATTAGTCTTAATTCTATGACACCAGGTTTTTGAAGTGAAACTTATTTAGGATCGCTGTGATTTCAAACTCGATGAAACGAAAAAATAAGTCCATAGAGACACAAACTCATAAGTGCATAGGATTCAGCCGGCGAGAGAACGAGATAGAACACATTAGACGTTTTCAGTGTAGTGTTTTTTGAATACAGCGCCATTGATGAGATTTTTTAATACTAACGTGTGTATGAAGCCTCTTGTAGTGGACTTGAATTTAAGATTATACGTGAAGTTAAAATATCAATTCATAGAGGGCGCTACCTCATACTATAAAAGAATATTTCCTAATGACAAATTTTTATATATACTTAGACATTTAGGATAATTGTATTTTAATTTTTGAAGGTTTCACTTTTACCACGTTTGAATTGTACACATGTTTTTTTTTATTATCTTTTGGTCGATTTTAAGTTGAACGTCTATGCAAGACATAGTCTGGTTTAAGTATTCTTCAATAAAAACACTATTATTATTAAGTCTTAAATTTCTAATTTTAATGTATTTCAAAGATCTTTTAAATGAGTATTTTATTTTTATTAACTATAACAAGGTAATGATTTATTTAAGCTAACCTGTGCAATACCGACAAGTCCAAAGCGTACAACAGCGCCATGTGTAGCGCGAGAGAGACTTCATCTAAAGCACCGGTGGGACCGAGGGATGGGGATGTGCTTTGCTGAAAAAATTTCTCATATTTAAGACACATTTTTTTTATTAATTTTGAAAACTATTACTACTGCTACTACTGCCGCTTTTTCGCTATAAATAAAATGCAGTTTACTGCTTCATATTGGCATTGGTGCCAAACTTTAATCTCAATCTTTTTGCTTTTGCAAAACTTTCAAAATGATCTTTACAATAAGAAGGCAAAAATATAATAGTTTATAGATGTCGTGTTCATAACGAATTGTAAGACTGCTCCCCCCTGTCAATTGCTCGAGTCTGAACCACAGACTCCTACAGCCTTATGCCGAATGAATTATCATAATAAAAATAATATGAACATATTAATAACAAACACATTCTGACAGTCTTCTTTCAAAGGGGTTTTAAAGTTCTGATAACTCTTTGATTTTTTTTTATTGCTTAGATTGGTGAACGAGCTCTCAGCCCACCTGGTGTTAAGTGGTTACTGGAGCCCATAGACATCTACAATGTAAATGCACCACCCACCTTGAGATATAAGTTCTAAGGTTTCAGTAAAACTACAACGGCTACCCCACCCTTCAAACCGAAACGCATTACTGCTTCACGGCAGAAATAGGCGGAGTGGTGGTACCTACCAGTGCGGACTCACAAGAGGTCCTACCACCAGTAAATAATTAATTTTGTGTATAAGAGCATTAATGCGTGAAATATACCTTAAGATACATTTGAAACGATTAACGATTTGTGTTCATAAACTTAATTAGTAAAAAATATCAATTGAGCATTGCTCGGATGTTATCAAAAATAACAAGTTGTTATAACACTTACTTCTGACAGTATTCGAAGTAGTAAGTCTCTTTCCAGTCCACGTTGTGCTGATAAAGTAAACAGCACACTTGCCAATAGTTTCCTGTGAATTAAATTCATAATACTGCACATGAAACATTCGTTATTATATAATTGATATTGGACAAAAAAAATATCTATACAAATTCCAGACTACAATATTGAAAACATAAGTCCACTAAGAAGAAATATCAATGGCTCATTACTACTTCAATACTTTTACCTTCATAGTTATCATTCTGAGTTTTTCAATTTTCTTTAATGAATGCTTTTTTTATGATTGGAAGATTACTGGTGGCCTCCTTTCCAGTTTCACCAGGACAGGTGGGCGAACAAAGGCTCAGCCAGGAGGGGTGGGATTTGCTAACAATTGCCCGAGCGCCTCCGAAGGAGACCTAACAAGTAAAGAGCAATTGCATAATGAATGCTAAGTACCTAGTATCATTGAGGGTGGCGCACAGCCTGGCGAGGTGGGGATGCGGGGGCGCGGCGCGGTGCGCGTGCAGCAGGTCGAGCGTGGCCCGCACGTCGCAGCGCGGCAACGCGTCCAGCACGCCCGCACCCAGCCCCCCACTGCACGCCTGCTCCACGTAGCGGCTCACGTACCACACTACCTCCGCACGTGCCGATATTGACCTGACATAATGCAATGTATTTTTTATTTTTATTGCTCAGATAAGTGGACGAACTGTCGGCCCACCTGGTGTTAAGTGATTACCGGAACCCATAGACATCAACAACGTAAATGCCCCCACCCACCTCCAGAGACATGAAGTCGAAGTTTCAAGTGTATTGCAACTTTGAACTTTAAGACACAAAAGTCTGTTTTATAGTACAATAGCTGCCTCACCCTTGAAACTAAAAAGTATTACTTCTGCATGGCAGGTCAGCCATACTTATCCATACAAGTTCATGAGACTTACCGATAAAAGTCGTCGTGGCCTAAAGGATAAGACGTCCGGTGCATTCATATTAAGCGATGCACTGGTGTTCGAATCCCACAGGCGGGTACCAATTTTTATAATGAAATACGCACTCAAAAAATGTTCACAATTGACTTCCACAGTGAAGGAATAACATTGTGTAATAAAAATCAAACCCGCAAAATTATAATTTGCGTAATTACTGGTGGTAGCACCTCTTGCGAGTCTGCGTGGGCAAATACCAGCACTCTGCCTATTTCTGCCGTAGAGCAGTAATGCGTTTCGGTTTGAAGGGTGGGGCAGCCGTCGTAACTATACTTGAGACCTTTAACACCAGGTGGGCTGTGAGCTCATCCACCCATCTAAGCAATAAAAAAAAACACCATACCACCAATGAGACTGAGAGATGTAAATGCTGACTAGTACTGCTGTTAGTAAACCCTCACTAGACAATGTTAACATCACACAATCATTCTTATTTTTCAATTTACAACCTTTTTCTGCACATAATGTATTTGTAAAATGAACTAATTTAAAACAAAAATTTGCACTCACCAACAAACACCTTCTCTGGCCATGCATAGTTCTTTTAATGCCTGCACAAGTGCTCTACGTCCATCATAGTACAGCAAAACGGCCACAAGGCCTCGTGGCAGACCAGGGTGACGTGGTAACTGTCGCTGTGCTGTATGAAGCAGCTCTAATGCAAGGTATTCATTCACATTGAACATATCTGTAGACAAAAATATATTTTATGGACTATATTATAATGAATTCACAGAACTAATTTTGGTTCTTTAAAACATTAAGTGAAACATTAAAATACAATGAAAAGATTTAAGTTACAGAGATGTGAACCATGCAGGATTTACACATACTTACAATGTTGTTTTTATGAATGAACTGGCCTGTAGGCTTTTCCTGTTTCACCAAGACAGGTGCGCGAGCAAAGGCTCAGCCAGGAAGGAAGGGATTTATTTGCTAACAGCTGCCTGAGCGCCTCTGGCGGAGACCTAACAACTCAAAGGCAGCTGCTTTGCAAATGAATCTACTACCAGATTGGAATCGCTAACAAGATCCGGCAAGAAACTCACTAAGCTGACGTATGGGTTAGGTGCCCGTGTGAGTATGGTCACCAGTGTCTCTAAGAATGCTCCTAGCAAGCTAAGGCATCTAATGCAAGAGTTATTGGATCTAATGTGTATGGACGTGTCTAGGGCGTCTACAGTGACTGGCTCCTGGTGAGCAGGAGTTGGGGAGTAGTCAGCGGCAGTATTGATAACGCGATTATCTTGACAAATAGCCTTGCGAAGTACTCTTCTGAAACTGACTTCAGGTTTTTCTGGATCAATTCAAGATTACCGATGTATCAAAAAGTTGAGCAAAAAAACTTCAAATACACAAATTTTACTATAAGAAACCAAACAAAATATTGGAGTGAAAATTTTTAAGCTGGAGTCTTGAAGTCACAAAAGATATAGGATTCCTTCGTATTTCTTAAACTTTTAATGAATTCAAATTCATAATATTACCTGATATAATGATAGCTTCATCCACAAGTTCTTTAGATATGATGGTCCTCCCTATGCTAGGCAGTGTGATACCTTCAGTCATACCCCTCTTTAGTTCCTCCCTGCTTGCCAGGTTTTTTGGCTAAACAACATAAAAAAAATACAAATTTACAGTAAAGTATAACACAACATTAGGTTTTGATTTTCAAGTTCAAGGTTTCAAAAAGAAACCACCAGAGATGAAAACACAAATTTAATTTAGTTTAATTAACTAAATTTTATAATCATTTTATACCTATCGGTTTACATTGTGGCATTTAGCATTTGAGTGGATTAATGATGACTTAATGAATAGTGAAATCAAGGTGATAAGGAATTAAATCAATTGCATGAAAGAGTGGTACTGCACATTTAATTTTACAAATGGTCAATTGGGAACCTTTATTTTATTACTTATAAGGGCAAATGAGTTCTCAGACCACCCAATGTAAAGTAGTTACCAGAACCCCTTCACATCATAACATTAATGCCTCCACTGTATTTGCAATAGACATAAAATAATTTATAAACAATGTAACCTATTATGAATATTTACAAAAGTAAGATTATTATAAAAATATAATAAAAAGCACACTTGACTTCTTACAATCAAATTAATTGCTTTTCTTGATACTACATACACTTCAAGATCATCTCGAGTTTTGTTAGGTTTAATGAAACAGAAGTATCATGAAAGAAATTAGTAAAAAATATGTCACTCACTGGATTCTTAAATAAAGCTAGAAATGTTTGCTTGTGTCTTCTAAGAACTGACTCAAAGGTGTGTACAGCATAAAGGGCCCCACCACTCTCATGTGTAAGATAACTCTCCACTACAGACACCAACTCTTTGTAGGGCGTCCACAGATCGTCTGTGGTATTGCCTGAAAAGTGGTAGTTCATTTAGACAATTCAATTAAACGTATGAACGCAGTTAGGAAATAATAATTGTCTGGTCTTATTTCTCGGTGAACCGATATATGTTTGAAGATAATCAATGAAATTCATTTTAATTGTTTTTTACAATTTTTTAATAGATTTAAATAGAGAATTTTTTTAAACATACTTTGTTTAATTCCGCTATATAAATAGGAATTCTACTGCAGAGAACGACGACTGCAGTATTGTTTAAGAAGATCATTTGAAAGAAAAAAGGGAGATTTGTACATTTATACTTTTAGTAAAGAGAATAAAACAAATTTAGGTTATATGTCGGTATCAGTTTTGTTTACCTTCGTTGATTTCCATGATTACTTAGCTGTTGGCATCAGACTTGAAACATAAATATTAGTATTTCACGCAAACTTAAGGTATATGACTATCTTATTAATTATATTTATTATTAAAATACTATTAGTTTGGCGTTTGAAACTTGAAATTTTTTGAATGTCTATAAATGAAGCGACAAACAAACGCGCGCGGTTGCTTTTTTTTTTGACAGTTGTTGTCAAAGTCAAGTTGAGTAGTGGTAGCAGTTCTATTTTTCCAACTAGAAAAGTAAAGATATCAAACCATATATCCTAATCTTTTTTACATATTATTTTTTACGATTTATGAATCCCTTATTAATAAATAACAAATCAAAATAATTTAACATAAATCCACACAAGTAACATCCCATACCAGGCACCAACCGACTGACCATGGAATTAGAGATATGGAATAAACTCAGTAAAATGTTGGTTATTTCTCAGTTATGTTTATGTTGCTTAAATGGGTGGACGAGCTCACGCCCCCCCCCCCCGTCACCGTTCCCGTCGAAACGTAAATTAACCGTCAGACACAGCCCACTGAGTTTCTCGCCGGATCTTCTCAGTGAGTCGCGTTTCCGATCCGATAATACATTCTGCGAAGCACGGCTCTTGCTAGGGTTCGTGTTAGCAACGTCGTCAGGTTTGAGCCCCGTGAGCTCACCTACCAGTTAAGGTTCCGCTGAAATAGCCTCTCAAGGCTATCAGCTTAGGTAGGAATAAAAAAACCTACCCCTGGTGTTAAGTGGTTACTGGAGCCCATAGACATTTGCAACGTAAATGTGCCACCCACCTTGAGATATAAGTTCTAACTTCTAAGGTCTCAAGTAGGTATAAGTATAGTTACAACGGCTGCCCCACCCTTCAAACCGAAACGCATTACAACTTCATGGCAGAAATAGGCGGGGTGGCGGGTGGCGGTACCTACCCGTGCGGACTCACAAGAGGTCCTAATTTTATAATAATTTGCGGGTTTTATTTTTATTACACGATGTTATTCCTTCACTGTGGAAGTCATTCGTGAACATTTGTATTAGAAAAATTGGTACCCGTCTGCGGGATTCGAACACCAGTGCACCGCTAGATACGAATACACCAGAAATCTTATCCTTTAGGCCACGACGACCTCAGAGTACAGTAAAAGCTCTTTATTCGCGGAGTATATGTTCCGTAAATATGCCGCGAACATAGAAATCGTGAAATTTCATTTATCAGGCAGCGAAGACGGCTCCTGTCAAAGACAGAACCAATACAGCGGCGATGTCATATCAATTTAGCGTTTTGTTTTAGGCCTGGTGGTAATAAGATCTATTTAACTTTTTATTAGTCTATTTGACGACGCGTTTACAAATGATATTCGATTGGATACCTACTTATCGGAATTCCTTTTTAACAATGTATCGATTACGTCCGCGCAACGGCGTATCCAGGAGGGGGGTCATGACCCCCCCCTGAGCTAGTTCCAGGACTTGAACTAACTTGGACTAATTGAAGAACATCATGATTTATTTATTATCTTAACTTGCCCACGACTATGTGACCCCCTCCCGGCGCCAAACCTGGATCCGCCCTTGCGTCCGCGAATAAAGAAATTTTTAGCATTTTTTTTAAATCCCCTAATAGTGAAAACGCAAATGAAGCGCGAACAAGGAACTTTTATTGTATGTTACATGAAAGTTTTAATATATTTATTTACGTAGAGCTCATCATCGTAATAAAAAATATATAGAACCACATTGAGATAACTTTATTAAACATATTTCAAACAGACACAACAATTACACAGGTAAAGTACACTAGAAAAATACATTAAATTTCAAGTCTTGAATTCAGAATATTAGAGTAAATGCAAAAGACGAACATACATTTTATATTAATTTCTCTATTTTTGACAAATACTCAATACACTTATTCCTGTAAAAGGTGTTATTGTAGAACACGATGCTATAGTAAAAATCTCCAGCATTCGTTGTTTGTACATTCAACGAATTCAACAAATCCTTTTTGTCATCATCTAATACATTATCACATTCAGTTTCAATACTTTCTAAGTATTTCAGTCCAGATGGATCCTTAAGATTTCTTAAAACTATACCATTGGTTGATGTAAACCCAATTTTCTCGAAACATTTAACAGAGAGAATATATAGAATGCTCACGATAAAATGGGTTAAAGCATTCATATTCTGTATTACAAGAGTCTCGTTTGAAGATAAATTTCTCAAATATTTCATTATAGATCTAAAACAGTTTTTCTCATATTTATAAAAACTTTCACTGCAACGGTACTCCTGTACGCAGAGCACTTTGTCCACTTCATAATCTAGTGCCGTTAAATTGACATCACGATTACTATCTGTACATACTGCAATGTGTTTAAATTCTTTCTCTTCTAAAATCTTTTGATATAGCTTAAATATTGGCACGAATATAAATTTTGAGCTATTAATTTTTTGTAAAGGTCGTCCAAAAGTAAATGTTAATTCTATTTCTTTAGGAGCATCATAAAATCTCTTCCATTTGACCGGTTCATTTATCAACACTGTAGGATTCGTTAGGACTTCAGCATGCAGATATGAGTTCAAATTGTGCAATTTCTCTCGTAAAGACATCTTTGAATAGAGCTGTCGTTCAGTGTAAGATCCTCGGTGGTATCTGGGATTCATATTGATTTTGTTCTCCTCATGTAGAATACCTTTGAGTATCTCCTCATGAGAATTTAAGGGTTTCAAGTCATAATGCCAAATAAATTCGTCAGCAACAACAGCCCTTATTTTCTTTATATTTCGGTGTAGAGCGATATTATTCTGCATTAAGTATGCCTGCAGGTTATTATTGATAACTTGACATTGTATTGAACAAAAGTAACATGCGCACTCTTGGATTTGCTTCAAAAATGTATCTGGGATGTCATCAAGTCGGAATAATGATAAATTTCCATATAGTTCCGTTCCATATGCTGACATGAGTACCGGCGTAAACTTCTCCAGTATAGACATTCCTTTATAATTTAAGCACACTGCATACACTTCAGAGTTGCCCTGTCTCGAGGTGACCGGTTTGTAGATGTTAACTTCAGAGAACAAATGATTAATTAGGTAAAGCAGACTCACAGTGCTATGTTCGAAGATAGTAAAAAGCTTGAATATTAAAGTTCCACCTAAAATAAAAATAATAAAATTTGTAGCTTTTAAGTCAGAACATTTTGTCTGTACGGGTTGGCAAAATTGTCCTCTTATAACTAGTAGCTTCCCAATAAGAATGCATACTTTTATCAACCATTTTCCCTAACTAAAGTAGCAATAGGATGTTTTTTGAAGATACAGCTGATTTGTGCCTTTTTTTTTGTTTCGGGCCCGTGGCCGATCCTCCTACGAGGTCGCCGCGCCTGCGAGGCGCGCGGTGTATGTGGGACTTGACGATCTGCAAGGTGTTGGGAGCAGACCGCAGACCTAAGGAATTTTAGGGCCCTACCGCACTGAACATCCCCGCCCTTCAAACCGAAACGCATTACTGCTTAACAGCAGAAATAGGCAGGGTGGTGGTACCTACCCGTGCGGACTCACAGGAGGTCCTACAACCAGTAACTACTTCTTCACAGCTGAAATAGGTAGGGTGATGGTACCTACCCATGCACTCACAGGAGATTTACCACCAGTAATAGATTTCAAGTTGTTACAATTACATTTTGCATCACAAACCATAGAGGCACAGCTAATCTGCTGCCGACCACCTACAATTGTGCTGTTGAGTAATTAATTGTAATAAATGTAAGCATTTCTCTGTGTATGGTACAGTACATTAGGACTGTGATGGATGTTTAAAATAGTTGTGCTTGACTATATTTTGGTGCTAGCACTACCCTGTAACTGGCATCACACATTAACATTACTTTGCACTACATTACATTACTAACATTATTTTGAATACAGTATAATAGCATCCTGTTAATGTAATAATTCAACATACCCTGGCTTAATGCTTGCAGGGCAGTAGTGATTTCACAGTAATGTAATAGAGATGTTGCCTCTTCCTGTGCATCAGGTGCCTGTAGACAATCAATGGAGCCATCTGCCGTCACTAACATAACCTACACACCAAAATTTTCATTTTCAATTTTCATCATGTTTCAATCCAATTTAAAAATGCTCTAATTAATCTGAAAAGCTAAAATTCCATAAATTATTTGTTATTTATACATTTAGAACAGATTTAGCAACCAAGTCTAAAATATGGCATGTATCCTGAAAAGAATGTACACAGCTAACACAGTTTTTACTAATGTGACTTAAAAGGTACTTACTACATAATTCTTCTTGTTATTGAGATTTATTCTAATGTAATGGAAGACAAACTAAACCAACCAAAGCCAAGTGATTTCGACGCCTCAGGGGTTTGTCATTAAATTTAGTGACGTTACTTAGAATTTACAATGTACTTTAATTTTAAAAATAGATAAGACAAGACAAACTTCATTACTATTCTTGATGATCACATTTAACTCACCTTTCCAAGGGATTTCGCTTTTCTAATGATGGCTTGTGAATTTTCCCAATCCATTAAGTTACCAGTATTGTCTACCCCAAAATGCCAGTTATCTAGGGTGTGAAACATGAACCTGTCATCACTGATCATGCTCGATGGGGAATTACCCTCATAGTATGGATTTAGTGTGTTAGCAACCCAGGTCCACTGTAATATTTCCATTCAGTTATATATTTTATATAACAACAACAGACTCTAAAATTTTATCTATTTTTTTTCAGTTTCTTTTTAATAATTTTTTACTCACCTGTATCCCAGGATGATTTAACTTCAAATAGTGGTTCAAAGATGTGATGAATGCTCCCGGTGCCTCACACAAGTGCAATGATACCATCTTACGCTCAGATTTTACATCTGCAGGTATAATATTGTAAGTTCGGGCACATTCATAAAACTTTGTCCACGCTTGTGTAAGAAATTCAGGGTTGATTGTGCATCTTATTTTCCAAGTGACTTCTCCAGCTGGATTCCTCCGACGAGTATGGCTGCTCCACTCTTCTATATCGAAATCATTCAACTGACTCTTATGAAAGTTAAGTCGACTTTTTAAAACCTCGAGTTCCTTCACCTGCCACGGTGGTACTGAAAACCAGGTTCCTTCTTCGGGTAGTTTCCAATCATCATTGAAACGAAATTTAAATTTTTTATTGAATAAATCACATAATTCATCGTTGAAATTGTCATTATTGCAAAATCTTTGACGGAAATGAACAAAATCGTCGGATTTATGATACATTTCGATTTAAACTCAATATATAAATTAAAACAATAAAAAGAATTCTTTACAATAGCAGCCTTCAAACTTCACGTCGCTGATTGCTGTAATAAGTGTTTCCCACATGTAAATGTTTCATGTTTTACAAACAACAGTGTTTTATTACACGATAAATCTAATATATGTGATCAGATCTCTCTGTAGGGAATTGAAATTAATTGTTTATTTATGAACAACAAACAGTGTGAAAATGTACCATCTTTTTTTATTGATCCGTCCATTAGACACGCAAATGCATTATAGGCCATACAGCTAAGTATTCCAACATTTCCAACAATCGTCGAAGACTTGTCCGTTAGATACTGAATCTGTGGCACACCATTATGATATTGACGAACTTTTTGGCGGGAACGCGAGGAGCGATTTGTTTTATTTTGACAAATAGTCAAGTCAATAGTGTTTCTTCAGGTTTAAATGTACACATTTAACGGTGGTTTATTAACTATTTAATATCTGTGAAAGTGCACAAATGTGGGAAAATTAAACAAAGCCGCTGGACGAACTTCTCGGGATCCTTCAAAAAGTCCACTGCAAAAATCTCAGTAAATGACCACCATTTTACTGATAATATTTCATCCCATATCATCTCATTTATTTAATTTCATAATACCATTTTTTATATAAAAAAAAGTTTTCATTAAAATTATAATATCGCTCAGCTGGCAATCTTTTTTTTTTTTTATAACAACGAGAGGCAAACGAGCAAGACGGGTCACCTGATGGTAAGTGATTCACCGCCGCCCACGGTCACCAGCGTTTAAGCCAGTGCGTTGCCTACCCTTCGTGTATACCTCACACATAAATGGGCTGAAGCCTTGGAAAGCAAGGGCGAGGCTCTCGCTGTGAGCTTTGACATCGCGAAGGCCTTCGGCAAGGTCTGGCATAGGGCACTTCTATCGAAGCTTCCAGCTTACGGAATCCCTGAGGGACTCTGCAAGTGGATCGCTAGCTTTTTGGATTGGACGGAGCATCACAGTTGTCGTCGACAGCTGCGTTGTACACGAGAGGCGATTAAAACTTGTGTCTGAAGTGGAGAACTCTCTGCGGCGGGTCTCCAAGTGGGGTGAACTAAATTCAGTTCAGTTCAACCCATTGCACACACACACACACAGACACAGACACAGGTTTGCGCGTTCACTGCGAAGAAGGACCCTTTTGTCATGGCGCTGGAATTTCAAGGAGTGCCCCGCAGCTTTCCGCGAGTATCGGGATTCTGGGGGTCGATATTTCGAGCGATGTCCAGTTTCGGAGTCATTTGGAAGGTAAAGCCAAATTGGCCTCTAAAATGTTGAGAGTCCTCAACAGAGCGAAGCGGTATTTTACGCCTGGGCCGACCTCGCGTGGAGTACTGCTCTCACCTCTGGGCCGGGGCTCCCAAATACCAGCTACTTCTATTTGACTCCATACAGAAACGGGCTGTTCGGATGGTCGATAGTCTTGCTCTCGCGGATCGCTTGGAACCTCTGGGTCTACGGAGGGACTTCGGTTCTCTCTGTGTTTTATACCGTATGGTCCATGGGGAATGCTCTGAGGAATTATTCGAGATGATCCCCTCATCTCCTCTTTATCATCGCACCTCCCGCCATCCGAACAGAGTTCATCCATATTATCTGGAACCGCTGCGTTCATCGACAGTGCGTTTCCAAAGATCTTTTTTGCCACGTACCATCCGGCTTTGGAATGAACTCCCCTCCACGGTGTTTTCCGAGCGCTATGACATGTCCTTCTTCAAACGAGGCTTGCGGAGAGTACTTTATGGTAGGCAGCGGCTTGGCTCTGCCCCTGGCATTGCTGANCAGAGTTCATCCATATTATCTGGAACCGCTGCGTTCATCGACAGTGCGTTTCCAAAGATCTTTTTTGCCACGTACCATCCGGCTTTGGAATGAACTCCCCTCCACGGTGTTTTCCGAGCGCTATGACATGTCCTTCTTCAAACGAGGCTTGCGGAGAGTACTTTATGGTAGGCAGCGGCTTGGCTCTGCCCCTGGCATTGCTGGCGTCCATGAGCGACGGTGACCACTTACCATCAGGTGGGCCGTATGCCTGCCTACAAAGGCAATAAAAATAATAATAATAAGACGACTTAAAGGTCTTAGTTACCAGGTTATAAAATCCTTTTAAAAAAAAGTAGCTTCTTATGTACCATATAAAATTACAATATTAATGTATGTATGTATCGTTGGTACCTGCTTGAGTACCGTATCTTCTTTATTTTATTCTAAAACTTCAAAAGTTGAATATCTTGAAATATGTATTATGTAGTAAATCAGTAAATAATTAATCAGTTAAAGAAACAGTTGACGACAGACTAGACAGATTACATTTCGTTTAATATTTTGACGTGATTTTGACTGAACCTATTGTTAAACCAGACTGTGCTACAATTGCTTACCCAAACCTACGTTATACAAAATGAACCATGTGGCACGCAACGACGACAAACCACCATATTCCAGAATTTTCATAGTTTGCAGCAAACAATACCGCGAACACGACTTACGACCGTTTTTTGAAAAGTATGGCGAAATTGAAGACATGTACCTACCAAGGGACCGCAACACAGGCGAGACTAGAGGTATCGCTTACATTAAATATGCTAAAACATCATCAGCAGCCACTGCCATAGAGGAATTACACATGACTACCTTACTTGACAATCACAAACCCATCAAAGTTATGGTCGCCTCTGACAAAAATGACTATCAAAGTAACAGTTACGACAAATACAGAAGACTATTTATCAAAGTTCCCAAAACGATGACTGAGAAAGAAATTCGGCAATATTTTTCCAGTTATGGAAAAGTTGAGTCAGTGCGTTTACAGAGAGACAAATTGACTGACGAAAGTAAAGGATTTGCTTATGTGAATTTTACAACTTTTTCGGAAACTGCGAAAGCGTTTGAGCAGTGTGATAAAACGTATAAAGCTATTTTTGCCACACCGAAAGATGAGCTTAAAAGGCCCAGGAACAGTTTAGAAGGACTTGACTGCTATTCCAGTAATTCTAATCTAACTAAATCTCATGTTTATGCTGATCACGGCCATCATGTTAACGATGAGTTTAATAAAGATTATTTGACATTAATTTCAAAGACTAAAGAACAAGACTTTGACACTGTGTCAGTTAAATGCACACCACCAGTGCTACAAAAACACCTTGAAAGACTGTTTAATATTGTACCAGGAATGATTGAATTTAAATACACTATGGACCAAGGTAACCGTGTTTGTCGAGCATCAGTTACATATGACAGTCAAAAGGCAGCAGCTTATTCTGTCGAAACTATAAATAATTTTGAATATCCATCTGGAGAGGTTATCAGTGTTAAACCTGACATTAGCCCACTCACCAAAGCAACTTCTACCTTGAATAACATAGTTAATAATATTAAAAACTCTGTAGATGGAAACCCAAATCTATTGCAGCTTGCAGATGCCATAGCACAGGCTTCCTCGTTAATAAAAACAGCTACAATTGGAAGGAAAAGCCCAATAGATGATAAAGATGATGGTTTCTGTAATGTATGTCTTCCCCCTATAAAACCCTTGGCTAGCAGTAACTGCAGAGTCGCTCAGAGATGTTTCTTAGTCTTTAGACCCCATCCACCTCCCATGGCAGCTTTGATGAATGCTTTTTGTAGATTTGGTGGCCTCATAGAAATAACGACATACCCTAACAAGAATTTTGCTTTTGCTAAATATGATTCAGTGAAGTCAGCACAGGAAGCAATTAAAACTCTAAATGGTGCAACTTTATGTGGGGTGAATCTGAAAGTGTTGGAGGCTGAGGAAAAAAATACGAAAGAGAAGATGTGTGTTGACGATGATGATGACATAGAGAGAAAACGGATGAAGTTAAACAACAAAGACTGACAGTTTTGTAATTGTAGTAAATTAAAATTATTTTTTATGATATTTGAAACTGACTGATTGACCTCTTCTTCTACTTCATCATTCCCTCGCTGCTGACGATCGCGACCACATGTCCTCATTTTAGCACATCATGTGTCACCCCTCATAACTGCTGTTAAATGTTTATTACAAAGTAGCAAGTATGTCAATTTGCAAAATAAAATTAACAATTTTTTTTTGTTGCTTAGGCGGTTGGACGAGCTCACAGCCCACCTGGTGTTAAGTAGTTACTGGCCCATAGACATCTATAACGTAAATGCTCCACCCACCTTGAGATATAAGTTCTAAGGTCTCAAGTATAGTTACAACATCTGCCCTACCCTTCAAATCGAAATGCATTACTGCTTCACGGCAGAAATAGGCAGGGTGGTGGTGGTACCTACCCGCGCGGACTCACAAGAGGTCCTACCACCAGTAAATTAGTACTGTTAGTCACCAAAAGGGGGGAAATAAATATCTCAATGGACACCAATAATATATTTTATGAAAGTGACACAAACAAGAATGTAATTCATAACTTAAATAAATAAATTAAATACTGATTTTTTTTATGAATTCATTACTAGAACAAAGATTTCAGTGTCGAACAGCATTTTTTTTTAATTCTCGTATAAGAGTACTATTACTTTTTTCTCCAGGAGATTTAATATCATTTGACGAAATCCATAGACATCACAAGGTATATGTCCAACACTAAAAATAGAGGTTGAAATCTCAGTTATATTGCTTCGCGGTACCTACCACTTAATGAATCCAAATACTCACTAGAGAAATTTAACTATAATAACAGATGTACATACTCGAACTGATGCAACGATAAGCAAAGTTCTGGATCGGGCAAGTATCGGCACTTAAGTCCGAATCTCGCACTTTATCGGGACAAATAAATAATTCTCAATGGCATACAACGCACGTTTAAAACCCTGTTCATTTAAAATAAGTTAACGTTCTTCAGCGTTGCAACATCGAGGCACTGCTCAGCATGGGGCGAATGCGGTCATTCTAGCAGGAGACTTTAATTAACAAGGTGACTTATCCGCACACTATACACTTTGTTCGCCACCAGTACCCAGCACCCCACCCTAAAATAATGATTTTCGACCGCATGAATAAGGTTGAGGAAAATATGAAGGAATTGCAACTTAAATAGGGTCACAAAAATACGACTAGTTCGGGCAGTTGTGTTCCCCATATTCCCGTACGCTGCAGGAACGTGGATCCTGCGGGAAGTGACGAAGACGAAGATAAGACGCCCTAGAGATATGGTGCTGGAGGAAGATGCTCAGAGTATCGTGGACTGAATCGCCTATGAAGTGGATTGATCAGATAAAAGCGGCAATGAACGGCTCATCACCATTACACAAATGCACGAGGAGGGAGGCCGTCAGAGACACGAGCGTCGATAAGTCGTTAAGAGCGATACCAACTAGGAAGAAATGGTGAAAATGTCCAACAACAAACTTGAACGGTAGGCGACTCGACCGCATTCATTGATGATCTGGTCATCAAAATCTTTGACCGTACCGTGGGCTTCGAAGGCCAACTACCTAGGCGTCACCAGTGCGTCGGAACACGAAAGTCACAATGTACACACAAGATACAATGTAATTAAATTGATTCTTGGAAACTCCATATGGATGAATGAAGGGATTCCTTGTAATACACTTATCCTACCATTCAATGACCAATAATTAATATATGTAGTGCGATAGAACGGATTCACCCCATTCATGAAACCTCGTTTCACAATTCCCTAGTGAATATTTGGTTCCAGGTGTTTAAATAAAATTTGGCAAAATAATAGAAACAAGAAAAAATCGAAATAAACAAGGTATAAAGGTGCCGCTCCCGAAACCGAACTGTCAATTAGGTAGAGTAGACAGCAAACAATATTTCTTTAGTAAAATGAACTTTGGTACAACTGCAGTAAGTGCAAATTCCACTGATCTGTTATAATTTGCAGTGGTTTGTCGTTTCAAAATGAACAACCTTCTTCGTTTTCGGAAACTTACCCAACAGACCCTGCATAACCAAAATTTATAGTAAATATTTTAGTGCACTTAATTCAACTACATACTTAAATCAAACATATTGAATTAAGATTTCAGTACAAACAGGAGATTCTTAAAAACAGGAAGTAATGCTTTTACATTTACATGTGTTAAACGAGATATAAATGAAAATAAAACCTTATTATAAAACATATCTACAGAAACTAACTGCTAAGTCTTTCAGAATTATTAAAAAATAAAGCATATTTTTAGTAAGGCAAACTATATTTAGGAATGTGTGTCAGCTATTTTTGTTAAGCTACACTTTATGCATAACTTGCTAGTCACATAGTGTGGTCACAACGAGCATTACTTCAACCACTCCCAATATTTTTCACAACCAAATTATACATATTTTCACTTTTGTTAATGATCACACACATTGGCAGTAAGTTTTACAATACAAAACTTTGGTACATTAAATGTCTTTTTACACTTTAAATCTTAAATACAAAAAATTCAGACATTGATAATGAATGAAAAATTACATTTTATTCCCATTAATAATGCTTTTTTAAAACTATTAATTCATTGTTTGCTACCTGAATATAATATGAAAATATCTAAAATGAGAAATACGCTTTCTATTTTAAGATTTAGGTTTTACTTAACTCTTAAAATTATAGTATTCACCAGTAACTTAATTAATATTATGTAATCCAATTTAAATGGTATTTGCCATGCTTTTGTGAAAATGCTCACTGAGATGTCATCATTTTAACACTTGAATGCAAACATCAGGGTAATGTAGGAGACTACCACAGAATGTATACATTTTCAGATGCTTCATAAACCACACTTTTTTACAATGAGCAATGAACACTTCAACACATTAAGATAAATATTATGAAAAAAAGCAGTGAATTTTTTTGAAAATTTTTAGTAATTGGATGGATCAAAATCATATCTAGTTTCTTGGTAAAATTGAGAGCTTTTGTTAGTTCGTATTGAACTATTGTCTTCTTTTTACAGTGCCTGTTAATTGCGGAAGAAAGGTCAATAGTTTAAGACAACTGGATTATAACTGACACAAAAATTTAATGAGATGCAGGTAACGTGCATTCGGCTAAGTCCGAAAATCGAGTTATTCTATGGATTATTCTATAACAGTGGAAAGTTTTATTTACCATTAAATGCCAACATCAACAAATGTTACTTTTTGAAGGTAATCCAAAACGAAAATGAATATATTTCTTACTTAAATAAAGTTTACTTTTAACTGTTAACTCTACATTGCACTTTTATAAAGAATAATGACTCAGGTCTCTTGTAGTATAGATGTTATTTAATAAAGACAATCTTTTCAACTGAATAAAGCAGCCCAAGTTTGTAGCAATTATTCTACCAATTTTGAATGGTCCATGAAAATACAAACATCCTAAACAACTCTTTCAAATTCTTTTCATAACTGTCCGAATGCACCCTTTTGCACATGTTCTTCAGACACATTGAGAAAATTATTAGGCATTGACTGAAAAGCGTATTTTCAGATAAATATAAACACTTATCTTTACATAGCGAAAGAGCCACACATACAATATACTGTGAATACAAATTCTAGAAAAACTCTACTTTTTACACATATGAGAACCCTCACCTTGGGATTGGCCAAACCAAAAATTTCAGATGTTGGTTCTGTATCAAAATCGTCATTTTTATACCAATTTAGATATTTTGAAATTAATCATTAAGGTTCATATTTAATAATGCATTGCATCAGTAGTATCAGTATAAACTAATATATGACTTTGACCTTTACTGATTACCATGGCATTGTTTGAAATTCACATTAAATCTATTACAGATTATATATCTTTAAGAATTTAGAAAAACATTGCGGTACTCCAACGACTACACTCGAATACATTTTATAAATTATTACTTTCAACTTCTAAAGTTGAAATTCAGATGTGACAATACTTGATTTACTTTTCAATTAATACTGCATGTTTACTGGTAATTTTTGTTCTGCAGTAAATATGTGACTTCATTGATACCTGTGAGCAATTTAGCAATTATTTGTTCGTATTGCAAAGCATTTTGATTATTCACCTCTGGTTGTACTGTTGCACTGTTTTCGCTCAGAGCTGTCTTTGCCTGCACCATCTGAAATATTATTTGACTAAATTAGTACTAATTATGTGATTAGTTAATTTAATTCATTTGTATATTATTCACTTTTTTATGAATATATGAATTAATTGTTTTCATAAGACAATGAATAAATAACAATATATGAGACATAAATGTATGAATGGTTGAAGAACACAGTAACATCTATATATTAATACATCATTTATAATTATTTATTTAAGACTCCTCTATTCAAGTTTTGATTCTAGTGGGCAAGTTTTTTTTTTATCTATGGAAACAGATTTATATGTTCCATAAAAACTTCCATGACAGAATGGAATGGAACACAAACTCAAAATTAATAAATTTGAATCTGGTGCCAGAGATAGATACCAATTTTAGCTGCTTATTTCTGTTCCAAACTAGGCCCATGTTTGAAGAGTCATGAAATACAATAGTCTTCATCCTCTGGTCTTAAAACGGTTGTTAACTTTCAAGCTATGGATGACCTAATAGAACCTATGGGTTCATTCAAAGGAAAGCTGTGAACTTCCTATTTAATTCAATAAAAAAATTTAAACAAGTTTAAACCTGGGTGAACAAGTTGACATCCTGGCACAGTTGAACCAGTTTATTCTCTAACTCTGTGTTCTTAGGACTAACATCATTCTTATTCAACTTGATGTTTGCAAGGCGTTTGCCCAGTTGTTCCAGGCTAGAAGCATATTGTTCCCACTCTAGACATTCTATTTCCTTATTAACTCTTAGCTGCAGTTGTGTGAGAATGAAATTTCTTCGCAAATCTTCAGCGTACATCTTCATTGTGTTTATAACGTCGTCCAAATCTATTTCCATTGCGTTTTCTTCCATGTCCGGCATTAATAGCTTTGGCATGCCCGCGTCCAAAAACTTCGCAATGTCCTCATGTCTAAGATTGTTACCAGATTCTGAGTTAGAATTCTGTAAATTTGGTATAGTATCGAACATGGACTTTACTTCACGCATTATGCGCTGTGAATCTTCCAGCTCTTTATCTAAATTATGAGCAATCTTCTCCAGCGTATTAAGCTGAAGAACGGATTGTATGTATTGAGCAAAATCGTCAGGATTCGCTTTGTTATCCACCATGATGCACTTTTTCGGTTATGAACGTCGTTCAAAACAGGTGTTTTGGTGAAAACTGCAAGCAATGAGAGATATTCTCTACATGAAACAAAATTTAATATCGAAAACTAGTTTCCTGTTTGAAAATCAATGAAGGGTTACATAGGTAGGTATGTAGGTAGGTAGGTATTGCAAAATACAGACAAGATAAACTAGAAAATATTGATCATCAAGATTTTAAGCTGAAAAACCTAATGTTGATGGTGTACAGCATAGACTATCACCTCATATGACATTTTCCGGTGTCTAAAGCACTGAAGTAGGAAACCTATAGGTCTATGGTCTAAAGTCATGTATTTTGTCATTAATGTCGATTGTCAAATTACTCGATAAGCAAAAGTATTTAACCATACAGCCTAATTTTGTAGATATATAATATTATTTAAAATGAAACATGGCATGAAATGAAATTAAAGGTGAAATGAGATGAGATGAAATATAATCTCAGTAAAATTTCATTTACTGAGACTTTTTTCAGTGGACTTTTTGGAGGATCCCGAGAAGTTACGTCCAGCGGTTTTGTTTTATTTTCCCATATTTGTGCACTTTCATAGATATTAAATAGTTAATAAAACACCGTTGTTACGTATTTAAACCCGAAGAAACACTAAATACACAAAATAAAACAAATCACACAACTTCACTTCTCGCGTTTCTCTAAGAAGTCCTGCCAAATTAAATGTAATGTAATGACAGAATGGTTAATCATATACTTATTTTTTTATAGATAATATATATAGATAATGGTCATTAAGCATAGAACGAGGACAGTCCAGAACCTGGAAGTCATTCTGGATTCTGGATGCATTTAGGTGATGACCATAGACCTATATAGTAGGGACACGACATATTGTTCTATACGCACAATTGCTTATATAAATAGCACCCATTTTGAAGGCACACACATAAACATATATCTATCTCGTTCTTACTCAGCACTTTAACTCGCAAGAAAACAATATAACAGTATTTCAGTGCGTACATAAAATGAAACATGAATATACGTAAATGTCTCCGTCTCNGCTGTGTCCTAACAAGTCTGTCATGTAATCTCATTTCACTAAGAGTACTAATAAAAGTATCACTACTACCCACGAATGTAACAGAATTTTGTGATATTGATATTAGGTTGATTTATCATTGATTCTCAGATGATTAAATCTATATCAGCGATGTCGTAATTCGTTATTTCCACAAAGCCACAATAATGTTGTCTATATGAACATTCATGGGGGAAGTTCCTAAAGAGGTCGACGAGTATGCGCCTCCAAAACCTCTCATTGTAACCACGGAATGCTCAATCTTTAATTTTTAACTTATCAGCATATGCCACACTTTAATTTGCTGCCCGTATCTATGTATGCAATGAGACTACAGCCATTAATAACCACTGCATTTTGTACAAATATACTTATATGTTGTATGTTGTAAATAAGTCATTACTCACTTTTGGGTGTGAAGAGCTGGCCGCATACCATCAGCTGGCCGACGTGTGTCCCGGGCGATGGCACACTTCACAGCGCGGCTCTTTGCAGTTGTTTGTTTCATCTTCTCTTCGGCAGGCGTAACATTTTTTTGGTTGAAAGTCGGTCCCTCTCGCAACTGGAGCAACAGCACCTTCTCTTCTCCATGTGGTAGCCAGTCGCGGATGTGTAGTATAGCTGCGGTGGTGTATCGCACAATCTCTAGCCGACCCACGAAGACATATCTGCATGATGAACTGGCGGTCTTTGTTGTCCCATCCATTTACGTGTTCCAACTGGTCGATCTTGTGCAGCCATCCCTTGACGTTGCTAGATTTTCCATCCGGCCGGAACGTTGTAATAACCTCCGCATCGGTTTGGGTGACACGTCGCATTTTGTATCGCCTGTGTTTCTCAGCGGTCTCAAATCCGTCAATGTATGGGCCTGGCATAATCCCGCTTCTGAAGTATAAACGGATCCTCAGGGTGGTGGCGACAATTGAGACAATTTACATCCACACGAAATAATATATTCTCTTTTGTACACGTTACGGTGGGTAGAATACGAATGTAACAGAGATATGCTAACCGCCGGTATTTATACAATCATCTTGACCTATTTTAATACAAACTTAGTAGGTAATATTAAACATTGTTCATCTTAATTATTCTGCCGATTATTTACGTACAATTATTATTTAATAATATCGAATTATGTAACATAAATAACATTAATGCCTATTGCGCCGTAAGGTTTATTGCGCCGGAAGCTGTCAAGCTGAAGGCGCCAATAAAATATTATAAGTATAAAGAAATATGAATGAACTATTTACTTGATTATGAAATTACTAATTATATTATAAGACAATAATAAGTTCTATATATTTCCTAAGTTCGTAAATAATTTATTATGTGAGGCCGGAAGTGTTGCTCGGTAACACATGCTTAAAACGTACATAAATAATAATTAAAACATATTTTATAGGATCTCAAGAAGGTCGATGCCCCAAAACTATTATCTATATATATTTAAATTCATTATGGAGCCCTCATCCGAAACATGGATTATACACTTAATAATATATTTGAATCCGAAATATCGGATACCATTTTTCGGTCGGAATCTATTCATCATGACACTAATCATATATACCTCTTTAAAATATTATGTCATCAAAACATATTTAGACATTCTGTTTAGATATTTCGGGAAAAAGGCTATCGACAAAATCTCTTCGGAACTATTTAAATAAAATAGTTTTATTCCGCAGTGAGTAAAACACTATTGTAAATTCGTTAAATATTTATTAATTAAGTGATTTTAGAGAGGAACACAAGGAATGACGTTTGTAATTTCATTAACGAATAAATGTTCTGTAGGTGTTTTTTTTTTTATCAGGCGGTCCCTTGTTAAGTTTAAAATTTGCGTGCGGTACGGTAGTGCGGTGCACCTTCCTTGAGGTGCACTGCGGTAGTGTGGTACGGACTTTAGGTCAGCAAAACAATTAAAATAGATTGTAATAGTCTAAGAAAAACACGTACTCAAAATACGTTAACATTCAGCATGCTAGAAATGGGCTGATGGCACTGTACTATGCCATATCTTTATGTTTTGCGGCAAACGACAACTTTATAAAATCAGTGTAGCAAATTTAAAAAATTGTCACTTGGAAAATTTTAAGCACGAACTCGTCTTAGATTTCACATAATATCTAAATCACATCATCTTTGCACATAACAATATACTTACTTCCTATTAAAGTATAAATTCTACAAATACATTCATACTCAACAATATTTAAAATAAAATAAGCCGAGAACGTTTATCGATAGAACCTACTAACATTAAAATCTTCTGGTCAGCACTAAAACCCCCATGTTTTGTGGCCAGATGACGTCACAGTGGCACGAATTTTTTGTTGACGTTTCATTTCCATAGGTTTCCTACTTCAGTGGTGATGACACATAAAGCCCGCGACCGAGCGACGTTTTTTTTCTCGGCAGGCTTCACCCCATGATTTGTAAGTGGAGTGTAATCTACCTTTGGAGCAAGGTGACACTTTAAAAAACCGATCCGTTATTACATCTCCGGGTGTGGTGTTTGCTCACGTGGCCCGCGTCCACATAGACATCCCCCAAGCCCTCCAACTACGTTTTTGCTGGTTAGCCAGCGGAAGCCCTTTCACAATAGCCGCCGGTAACTAATACCCGATCTTCCAGACTGAATATTAAACAGTCGACGTCGTCTCAAAACCCGTAATTTCTGATCCTCCCGATCCACTAACGGTGCTTTTAGGTACCTTAAGCACCGGTAGCCGTTCTCGTCGAACCCGTCGCTCACGTCGAAGGGTTTGGCGAGTAAATTAACCCACAAACACAGCTCACTGAGTTTCTCACCGGATCTTCCCAGTGAAAGGTAGGAAATCTCAGAAAGAAAAATAGAATGAAGACACGATCAGACTTGTTGTGAATAAAATTTATCTGTCTACCTGGTTTTAAGCGATTATCGTAACAGCCCTCTCCGGTGTTTCGATCACATGAGTACTTTGCGACAAAACTAGGCCAGGTAATTCGTACCTATAGTTTTATAAAACACATAATATCTTCATATCCTGGGCTTGTTTCGCGAAATCTCTAAGCTGTTTATTTAAACAGCTTAGAGAAAAAGAGAGCTTAAATAGCTTAGAGAAAAACAAAAATATTTATTTTAATTTAGTGTTTCTTCACTTAAAAACAATTTTACTGAGAGCATATTTGATCCCATCTTATCTCGTTTCATTTCATTTCATCACAATTCATTATAGTCCCAAATAAATAAACTCGCTTCATTTCATACATAATAATATAATTCTCCACTCTTGTATATTTTATTTAACAAAAAATTTAAAAGATGGCGAGTATGGTCTGATACCTTCGCCTTTCCAGCGCGTAGAACCACTCAGTTTTGACAAACGACTTTATAATCAATGTTCTGTTACATTTTTTATTTTATTATTATTTTTTATATAAGCAGAAACACTACATAACCTATATCCTTGTGCTCGGTGTTCCCAAAATGGTCAGAAAACTTAAATTTCATGAAGGGAAACTGCTAAAGAAAGTAGACTTTATATCATGGAAGTTGGATAACAATATTAGTGAAGTGAAGGTTATGAAAAAGTTTTGTATACAAAAGCGTGAGGATTACACAAAGTAAGGCAATTTTGCAATTATGAGCTATGTATTATATTATGAGACAGCCAGTTTTATTTAAATGAAATGTCTGAGACTTTGTTAATAGGGAATATCGGTCGTTATGCCTAAATTCTAAATTCAGCACACTGAAGTCGTATTTGAGTCAAATATTTTACTTTAGTATCCTAAATTTACAACTGGTTCTACAGGAGGGTTCCACAGAAAGCGGGAATTTGGCCGCTTTAGATATAAACTGTCCATTAATTGATGTAAAATACAATTAATAATAAATCTAAAACTATTATTGTGTGAATTGTTAGGTATAACAAATTGTCTCGTGATATCAGAGAGCTCGCAAACAAGATAAAAGACCTCGATCCAAATAATGAATTCAGGACAGAGTCAAGTGCTCAACTTTTGGAAAAACTTTACCAAATTGGATTGATACCGACAAGATGGGATCTTGCCTTGGCCACTAATGTCTCTGCCAGTTCTTTCTGTAGGCGAAGGCTGCCTGTGTTGATGGTTCGAAGTGAGTATCACTTGTTTCAATAAACATTACAATAACATATTTCTTGGAATTTGCATTTTTATTAATAAATGTCATTTATAATTATTGATGTTTATAAATGCACAGATAAAATGTCAGAAACTATTAAAGAAGCCACAAAGTTTATTGAACAAGGACATGTAAGAGTGGGACCTGAAGTAGTGAAGGATCCTGCATTCCTTGTCAACAGATCACTGGAGGACTTTGTTACATGGGTTGATGGTTCAGCAATAAGAAAACATGTTCTGGAATATAATGAAATGGTTAGTATACACAATACACATTCATTAAACTTTTTAATGTTTATTCATATTTCTAAGTTTACTTACATATTGATAATATAATTGTGAAAAAGCTCTGCGTAGAGGTTTAGAATAGTTGTGAAAAACAACTTTTGTTAAATGGAAAGCAGTAATGCATTAAATAAATTTTAGAACTTGTCCACAGCATAATGTCACACTGGTTTTGATATGAAATTAAAAAAAAATGAAAACATTATATAGGGATCAATTATTTATAACATTGTCATTAACAAAGACATGGATGTGTTTGCATAGATAAAACGGAAGAAACTTAAACTAATATTTCTTTTTTTTTCTTTTACAGAGAGATGACTTCGATATGTTATAATTTTATATAAGGCTTTAGTTATATAAGAATACTTATTTTAAGATTCTGTACTGTTACCACAACAACAAGTGAAAGTACCAATACACTTTTTAATGCACACTATTTTAGTTTAAATTTTTATTTCGCCTTGAAGTCATTTTTATTTAAAATATAGATAAATGATTCTTTCCTTTCAAAGAATCATAAAATACATACATTCCTTTGTGCTCTATGTATAGTATTCCACCAATATAACTTGTTTAAAGTGTAACTTCAATGATCTTAAGGTAAACTTCATTTAATACAGGATCTACCAGTGTTGATGGTTTACTTTAAATATGATCTGTATTGTAACCATTTTGATCATAAGCTATAAAAATTTACAATATTTGTTGAAATACAACAAAATCTAAGACATCCTACCTACCACCAGTAATTATGCAAATTATAATTTTCTGGGTTTGATTTATAATGATCTGCTTTGAGTTTCATTATTTGCAATCTCAGAACCATAAAATGTTTGCAGCAAATCTCAATTAGATAATCTATGACCCCACTAGATACTCTAACTTCCAAGCTGTCACAAAAGTTGCTAACTTTATTTCCGCAGTTCCGAAGTTTGACTTTTAAAAATACGTTTGTGTTGTTTTCCTGCCTATGCTTGAGGGGTTATGCCAGTTCAACACCGGGCGAGTAGGTGAGCTTACGGGGCTCTAACCTGACGAAGTTGCTAACACTAGCTCTGGCAAGAACATGGTTTCGCAGAATCTACCACCGGATCGGAAACGCGACTCTCTGAGAAGATCCGGAGAGAAACTCAGTGGAATGTGTGTGTCTGAGGGTTAATTTGCCGAGCCCTTAGTCGCAAGCGACGAGTTCGACGAGCACATTGACCGGTGCTTGAGGTACCTAAAAGCGCCGATAGTGGATCGGGAGGATCCGAAATGCCTTGATACGTTTGTGCAATTCACTGTGGCGTTTCAATGCCCACATGTTAGCAATCATCGATGTGTCGCTAGAGACACATTAATCCCCTTATGGATATTAATCATGTCACACACACTTTGAAATTTTTATGCCGTAACTTATCGCGGGATTGTTTATAATTTATTTTTCTTTTAGGTGTAGGGAATCCTTCATTATCACTTTCTCCAACCGATTATTTGTTTAGCTGAATAACCTTGAATTAATACGACCGAAATGTGTAAGGAAGTTACGTAAAGATAAGAATCTCACAGTGCTACCGCAATTTTTTAAAACAAATCTAAAGGAAAATAAGTACCAATTGATTTACTTTTTGTTAAATTATGTTTTGTAGAATAATAATTGTCTATAAATCTTTAGTGCCCATGAAAGTACAGAAGATACCATTAATTCAATTGAAAGAAACTGTTTCGCGGGGATTTCCCTCTGCATATATTCACATGCCTACACTGCTTTTTGTCTAAAAGTTTTTAAGCCTGAAATTCATAAATATTTTAATACACTATTTTTGCAATACAGTAGACGGTGATAGCAAAAAAATAACAGTAAATTTACTGCAATTATAATACCTACACCTGGCATCTCGAATACTAAGATATGGGTAATCTATCTATGCCTGGCATCGTTGGGCTTGGAAAATCATCGCCATCATGTGAGCGCATTGCATAGAAAAGCGTAGGGATTAGTGATTTTTGGCGGGAACGCAGGGAGCGATATATATTGGGGGAATTATTTTATTTGCTGGATGTGGCTTCTCAGAATTGTTCAGCATTTAGTAGTACTTTTAAGCTGAAATTAGTTGAAGTGAATTAGTTTTAAGCTCGAATGTACAAAAAACTGGAGTTATGAACTAAGTTCCTTTAGCATGTTCAAAGGTAATAAATAAAACCAATAAAGTTTTTTTTGTTAGGGTAAAAGCAGGCAAAGGGAACTAACCGATAAGTTTAATCCTTTTCTAAAAAAAGCCAAGTTTGAGTACAGAAAGTGAAATGACACGTATGAAATAAAATTCATTGTCATGTAAGTAATTTTGGATTTTTCGATAAAAGGTGGGAATATACAACAACAAATAGTTTTTTTTCTTGTTTTGAAATGAAGGGAATTTAAAAACAGATGGAGAAAGATCGTGCATGAGAAAGTGATTATACAGAAGGGTACTCTCTCAGCATTGACGAATACGATGCAAGGAGGAGGAATACACTTAAATGTGTATCTGTGTTAGGGTAGTAATTAGGTACGTAGTATGAGCTAAAATCTTGTAAACAGATAGCGCAAGGTAGGAAAAGCGTAAATTACTAACCGTATACGTGTTCGCGAACAACTTCCAAGATGAACGAAGTACACTGCGTAACGAATCCGAACCCAAAATTCATTTTTTTGTGACCAACTTGAGACTACGAAATTATGAATTTTATTAAATTGTAGGGTAGAAGAATGAAGTGGAATAGTAGAATTTTCTTTTTGAATAATGGCAATTACAATCATGTCTTGCGCGGCGAGTCTGCGCATGAAATAAAAAAATATTGAAAAAGAAATGGCAGTAACTAGCGAAAAAGAAAATTGTGCACGAATTAATGGAAATATACCCGCGCTATCGCTTAACAGTGACAACATGTCGACGTCGACGGACAGTGATGAGACTGCGGATCCGGAGTACGAGATCAGGAATATACAGAACATTATAAACGTGACTCGCCACAACATCGATGCGCTGAATGCTAAATTCGCTGGTTTCCAGCACCCACCTTCGTTATATCTAATTGAGTATCAGGAGCTAACGTCAAAGCTACATACGCTGGAGCAGCGGGAGAGGCATTTACGAGAATTATTACAAACCGATTCTCCAGATCATAGCGAAGAGTACTCGTTTTTTGATGACTCAAAAAAGTTTGACACTCTAACTCGTCAGCGGAAAGTTTTTCTGCGAGCCCATCTTCCGAACCAGCAGCGAACCAGTGTACAGGTCAAAGAGGGAGTGACACTGCGTGTGGCTCTCTCCAAAGCGCTCAAATTGCGGAACCTGACCTGCGAGATGTGTGAGGTTGTGAGGACGGGCTACAACCAAGTTATACCGTGGGACATTGATATAACCACTATTGATGCAGAAGAGGTCAGTGTACACTAATCATCCCTTAATTACTAATAAAACAATAACTACTAATTACTTATAAAGCTTACAACATGTTTTTCCCTGATTTTTTACTCATTTTAACATTTACTTTTTCATAAACAGTCAGGAAAATGTGTATAAAAATAATTCACTTCTAGGATTGTGAAAAAAAACTGGTATGATTCCATAAACTGTAAACTGGGGTCGATGATAAAAAATCTTATTGCAATCTTTATTTTTGTGAATAGTTGAATTAAAATAAATACCTACTCAGAATGGTGATAAATATATATTTAATAAAAAATATATATGAGGCCTATAAAATCAAAGGCAGCTATATCCAAGTCTGTCAAATATTCAGGTAAACTACAAAAATCGGCCCTAAACACGTCATTACGGATCCTCCCGATCCATCGAAGTACTGCTCTTGCTAGGGCCAGTGTTAGCAACACTCCCGGTTTGAGAATCTGAAATAACTTTGTTTGTATAGCTACAATATTCTTTATTTTAAAACATATTTATAAAGAATGAGAATATTACTAATAATCTGAATTTCAAATGATAAAACTTCGTTTAATAGTACTTAATGCAGAGTAAACTTAACTTTTTTGAACTGAATTTGTTAGAGATTAAGCTGCATTTGTTATAACATGAAAACACTAAAGCATGTTCAACTAACTAAATAAGATAGAGCCATTGTTAATACATTTTACGACATTATGGTGTTTAGCTGCCTTTGATTTTATAGACCTCATATATGATCTTATATACTTTTGCCCATTACATCTTTTTACCAAGGACATATTCTGTGGATGAACATGACCTTTTAAGTGTGGTCAAAATGTCCACTTCTATAAACAATCTGAAGATGGCATCTGGTGGCACTTGATAGATATTCCACTACATTCATATACAGTATCCCAATTCTGATATTAACTAGTTCCAAACCTTCAGGAGCAAGATGAATAAACTCATAGTAATTTTCTCATTAACTCAGTAATGGGCCATATCAAACATCAAATCAACACACAACTTTAATATTGCTCGTTGTTTTTGTTTTTTGAATTAAGAGTGATTACTCATGAGTGATTACTTTTTTATTGATAATCAATGCTAATGTTTATCCCGTTGATTGCTCAGGTAACAGTTCGGACTCTTGACGGGCTACCTATAATGACTCACATCTCACATCAATTCGCCCGTAAGACATTCTTCACATTAGCTTTCTGTGAGTGCTGCAGGCGACTACTCTTCAATGGATTTTACTGCTCGCAGTGTAACTTCAAGTTTCACCAGAGATGCGCTGATAAAGTTCCTAGTATGTGCCATCAGGTTAGTTTATATTATTACAAACTCTAGGTTTATGTTGTAATTTTATCTATTTGTTGTTAAGTATTTTGTATTTCTTTTCTTATAATGTCTTTCTATGTTTTATAATCATTACTAAACCAAAGAACAGTTTGACCTATGAAACAGAATAAGGTACTGAACTTTTTCTTTGCCTATTGATATGAAATAGTAATTAATAACTACTTACTTACTAACTTTGAAGGAAGTGGGGCTCCCTATAGAATTTATAAAAAACATTTACTGGATTGCTTACTGTGTTTTAAGTGTCCCAAACATCAGACTGATTGAGACAAAAAGAAGTATACTTTCATCTCATAATGCAAAACATCTTAAACAATAATTTCAAATCAACCCAGTGGCACAGTAATTTACTTTACTTACCCTAAAAGGCTTTAACCAATTAGGTGGTAATCGCTGTTAAGTTTCCATTCCAGGGTTTGACATTGGAAAGCTATATATGTTTTTATATTGTTACTTAACATGAGTAAACATAACCGAGCCTGCAGACCAAATGGTAAACAAGCACCGTCGCCCAAAACACGTCACCTCGAATCCTCCCGATCCACTATCGGTGCTTTTAGATACTCCAACCACCAGTCACCGTTCTCGTCAGACCCCTCCATTGCGACGAAGGGTTCGTCGCGAAAATATAACTACAGAAACAGCCCACTGAGTTCCTCGCTGGATCTTCTCAGCGAAGTCTGCCCTTGCTAGAGTTAGTGTTAGCAAAATCGTCAGGTTTAATCCCTTGAGATCGCCTAAACGTTTGGTGTATCTAGTATATCTTGACGCTAGTAGCATATTTAGTATAAGCAAAAAAAAACAATATTATATACTAACCGTTTTCGTTATTAAGACTTGTAATCATGATAATTATAATGATTTGTATTTCGTTTCGACAGGTACGTATGACAGATACATATTATGCAGCACTGTTGGCACAGAACCCAGAAACTCAAGCTGGCATTCTACACTATCCTCCCCACTTCGGGTACCATCCTGGGATGAGAGGAGACCAAAGCAAGTGAGTAGCATAAAATTTCCGTCGACACCTATGCAAGCTTAGTGTTCGCTCACGGGGCGCGCATGCACATAAACTCTCTTGAGGTCATCCAATCCCGTTTCTGCAGGATAGCCGCCGGAGCATCGTGGTACGTGAGGAATGTTGACCTTCACGACGACCTAAATTTAGAACCTATACGTAAGCATCTTAAGGTAGTGTCAGAACACTACTTCGACAAAGCGGCGCGACACGATAATCCGCTTAGTGTGTACCGCCGCTAATTACTTATCCTGCCCAAGCGACGGGTCAATGCAAAACCGCCGTCGCCCAAAACATGTCTTGTCGGATCCACCGGATTTACTCTCGGTGCTTTTAGGCCTCCAGCACCGGTTCTCGTGGAACTCGTCGATTCCACGAGTGAACTAACCCATAGATACAGCCTACTGAGTTTCTCGCCAGATCTTGTCGGTGGGTCGCTATTCCGATCCGGTGGTAGATTCAGCGAAGCACTGCTCTTGCTAGGGCTGGTGTTAGCAAATTCTGTCAGGTTGAACCCGTGAGCTCACCTACCCGTCCGATCGTAGCTGGAATTGCCCTGTATACTACCAACGAATAGGTAGGAAAAAAGAGTTGGCGTTTTTTTTTTTATTGCTTAGATGGATGGATGAGCTCACAGCCCACCTGGTGTTAAGTGGTTACTGGACCCCATAGACATCCACAACGTAAATGCGCCATCCACCTTGAGATATAAGTTCTAAGATCTCAGTATGTACATTTGACAAGTTTTGGTTCCATTAATATATACACTAATTTAAAAAACTAGTTTTTCTTCATTTTTGTGTCAACTCTCTGTGTCATACGTTATACAATTCTCTATTGTTAATGTCTGTAATCTGTTTATTTTGTCCACCAGACAACCACACCCACGTTCATTGAACCAGCAAGACCGATCAAATTCTGCTCCAAATGTTTGCATCAACATGGTGCAGAAGCCTTTGACGCTAGCTGAACATCAAAAATGCTACAGTCAGGTAATATAGTTTTTCTAACCATCAACACAATTATGGTCCTGTGTGCTTAGTGCGAGTTTTTTAACGTTTTCGTTAGCGTAAAAGTTAACTCACAGTTATATGGAGTTGGAATGTTTGCCTACGTTTGCCGCTAGGGGCGCTGTTCTAACTGCATAGAGTTGACTTTTACGCTATCGAGAACGTTCAAAAAACTCGCACTAGGCACACTGGTGTGGATACAGGTACAGAGGTTCTAGTGAGACTAACGTTCGTAACAATTAGTTAGACTAACTCTAAAGTTCAGCGACAATCATAGAATACGCACCCTCGTTTAGTATTATTATTTATTTAACATAATTTTATTCGAAAATATATATATAAAAACATCAAAATAATCTATTCTTCTGTTTCATAAACGAAATGTAACGCGATTATTAATCAGCGGAGGCGTGACGTTGCACGAGGGACCGCATACCGTTGTACTTAGTACATTACCGCTCTTAAACTGGAATTAGCAAAATAATAACTATTGAAACTCTCAACAAATAATTTTCACAATGACAGGTTAAACTGACAGTTTCGTTCCGACTGACTAAGTGACAAACTGACTGATTAACTGACTGGCCCGACTCTGCCCACATACCACCATTTCATACTTTGGTGTTACGGCGTCTACCCTACATTTTTCTGATATTTATCAAAACAGCATTTAATCATTTAAAATAATAATTTTTACTAGTGGTAGAGGACCTCTTGTGAGGCCGCGCGAGTAGGTACCACCGCCCTGCCTATTTCTGCCGTGAAGCAGTAATGCGTTTCGGTTTGAAGGGTGGGGCAGCCGTTGTAACTATACTTGAGATCTTAGAACTTATATCTCAAGGTGGGTGGCGCATTTACGTTGTGGATGTCTATGGGGTCCAGTAACCACTTAACACCAGGTGGGTTGTGAGCTCGTCCACCCATCTAAGCAATAAAAAAAAAACCTGTGGCACTCGGGAACTGCCGCGGTAAAGCTATTGCATAGCATTTTTTATCAACTTATGCAATTATAATTAGACAATGACAATTTAATATTAAAACAATAATAAAACTAGAAGACGCTATATTAAATATTAATAACAGCAAAACCTTAACTGTCCCCTTCACACTCATAAGCTAGACCGCGCGAGAGAGAGATGGGCAGACTTTTCATGATGCGCATGCAGTGTGACGTCACGCCACGCGCTTATTCACGAACACTACACAAGCGCAACGTGTGAATGTGTTGAACGCGAGCTACATGGTAGGCGGAGTGAGGGGTGTAAGGTTTTATTCGTTACGGAATTTCATGATTCGGTCGCTGCGCTCAGGCCCGCGATAAAATCTATGCAATAGCTTAAAAAAACAACACCGTCTTAATATTAGTGAAGTCGTTATATTGTTGCTCTGGGCGTACAGCACGGCAGCGACAACTCCACGCAGTCGTCGAACTATCTGAGTTCGAGCGGGCCCAGCAAGGACGAGGCGGATGACAGCGACCATCCGCACAGCCACAGCACGCAGGTGACGCATCACGACGCTCGACACCCCACACATACCATCCTCTTATTGCACACTTATAACATTTACATTACTGCTATTTAAATTGACAAACAATTAAGATGTAGGTAATCATATAAACACGAAAGAGGTCTGGTCATGGAGTAAGAGCCTGAGCTTTGAATCTATAACATTAGAAAAAGCTATGCGAATAGTTCTCGAAGAAATCTAATCAACTCAAACCCAATGGATAAAACCGCGTACACATATGGTCATGTAATTTGAAGTGTATATATTTATTTATTGCTTAGCTGGGTGGACGAGCTCACAGCTCACTTGGTGTTAAGTAGTTACCGGAGTCCGTAGACATCTACAACGTAAATGTAGGTAGACAGCGGCTTGGCTCTGCCTCCTGGCATTGCTGAAGTCCATGGGCGACGGTAACCACTCACCATCAGGTGGGTCGTATGCTCGTCTGCCTACAAGAGCAATAATATAAAAATAATAAAAATTCACTTGAGATATGAGTTCTAAGGTCTCAGTATAGATACAACGGCTGCGCCGCCCTTCAAACCAGAATGTATTACTGCTTCACGGCAGAAATAGGCAGGGTGGTGGCACCTACCCCACCCTCCTGGTAGTGCGGACTCACAAGAGGCCCTACAATCAGTAAAAAGGTTGAACACGAGAATACAACTGCGCCGCAGACGTCTCCGACGGGCACGCTGCGGCCGCGGCGGGCGCGCGCGCGCTCGGCGGACGAGTCGTGGAAGAACGCGCTGTCGCCGCGGGAGAGCTACGACGACTGGGTCATCCCGGCCGACGAGATACTCATCGGCGCCAGGATAGGTCAGTCCCTCCGCATCTCAGTCTCAGTCTAGTGCAGCGGTCGGGGAACCGGGGTAAATTACCCCAAATGGGGTAAGATGAAATTTTGGGGGGTAAAAATGAAACTTTTGTAAGTAAAAAGGTGAAACTTCTTTAGAATCGTTGTGATTTCAAACTCGATGAAACGAAATGAAACGAAACGAAAAAATAAGTCCATAGAGACACAAACACACAAATGTATAGGATTCGGGCGGCGAAAGAATGAGATAGAACCAAAAATCATTTAAATTAAAAAAGTTTTTTTATGGTGGCTATATATTAAATTCAAACTAGTTTTTTCGTCTAATAAGACAAGAAAAATATCTTATGAATCATAAAATAACAAGAAATTATCATTTACTTATATTTTCTGTAGGGGCGATTTTTTCTCCTCAACTGTATATTACATAATATATTACTATTATTACCGTTATGTATTACTAGGTATTACATTGATAAATTGAATAAATGATGTTTAAATTAAATTTTTAGTTATTGTTTTCTTTTCAAAATTATCATGGGGCTATAATTTGAAAGAGGCTAAAAAGAAGCTATTCCTTTTTTTTTTGTTCTTCGCCATGGGGTAATATCAACTTCACAAAAATATTTTGGGGTAATAATTTAAAAAGTTGCCCGACCACTGGTCTAGTGTGTGCACCCCACGCAGTGTGTGTACTCACGTGTCGCTTGTCGCAGGCTCCGGGAGCTTTGGGACGGTGTACAAGGCGCACTGGCACGGCCCGGTCGCTGTGAAGACGTTGAATGTCAAAACACCCACTCCGGCACAACTGCAAGCTTTCAAAAATGAGGTGTGTATTTCAGATGTTATTTGCAGTTCTTTTTACTGACCACAACTGTACTTTTTACTGTGACTTGTGGACGATTCCATGGCCTGGTCGTGACTTATAACGCGCCTCAGTATGAGTTAAAAGTGCTGAAGAATGCATTATTATAGATATTGTAGCAAGCACTCTTCACGACACAGTAAGAGTTAATGTGCAAATTGAATTTTAGTAGAAAACCATATTCCCTTTTTATGTTTAGCTTAAGTAGGACCACTACCTAAACCACTACTACTACTAAGAGAGAGAGAGAGAGAATAATCTTTCTACCTATGCTGATGGTCTTGAGAGAGCATATCAGCGTAACCGGGCAAGTAGTGGTCTTGTTGCAAGCTATTTGTCAAGTAAAGTAGAGTTACGTGTAGTCGTGTTGCATTGCGTAGTGCAGGGTAGGTGGCAAAAATAAAATCCTTGGGCCCGCGGTCTGCTCACAACACCATGCAGACCGTAGAGTCTCACATACCCCGCGCGCCCCTTTTGCGCGGGGACCTCGTAGGAGGTTCGGCCCTCTACACGAAAAAAAAAAAAAAAAAAAAAGGGTAGGTGGAGGACTTTTTGGCGGGAACGCGAGGAGTGAAGTTGTGTGATTTGTTTTATGTTGTCTATTTAGTGTTTCTTCAGGTTTAAATGTGTAATAACGGTGGTTTATTAACTGTTTAATATCTGTGAAAGTGCACAAATGTGGGTAAATGAAACAAAGCCGCTGGACCTAACTTCATGGGATTCTCCAAAAAGTCCACTGAAAAAAATCTCAGTAAATGACCACCATTTTACTGAGATTATATTTCATCCCATATCATTTCATTTAATTTCATCCCAGTTGATTAATGTCTCAAATTAATCATCTTCATTTAATTTCACTCTATATTATGATTTTTCATCAAAATAAGAATATAAATTAAAATAAGACATGACCTAAAGGTCTTAGTTACCGGGTTATAAAATCCCTTAAAAATATATATAATATGTGCAGGTGGCCGTGCTGCGTAAGACGCGGCACTGCAACATCCTGCTGTTCATGGGCTGCGTGTCGAAGCCGTCGCTGGCCATCGTGACGCAGTGGTGCGAGGGCTCCTCGCTCTACCAGCACCTGCACGTGCTCGAGACGCCCTTCCCCATCATATACCTCATCGACGTGGCCAGGCAGACGGCCCAGGGCATGGACTATCTGCACGCCAAGAACATCATACACAGGTCTCCCTCGACTCGCTAGTGCTCTATAATACAAGCGGCCCGCTCCGGCTCCACTTGGGTCTTTAACAAAAATTTTGAACGATATATTTGATGTTGTTTTATTTTTTTGACTAAAAGAACACTTATTGCAGCATAACTATAATAGTTACACATATGCTGTCGCGACACTTTTTGTAAATAATTATGTGTTCTACAAAGTCATAGTACATTATTTTATTCTATCATCAATAGTTTTCGCAGGGCACACGATCTAAAGAATACTTTAGGTAATTTTTTTACACTTTGGGTTACACTATTAGAGTTTTAGTAAGGGTCCCTAATTTTTTCAAAAATGATTATCGCCTATGTTACGCGGGAATAGTGTAGCTTCCAAACAGTGAAAGAATTTTTCAAATCGGTTCAGTAGTTTCGGAGCCTATTCAATACAAACAAATCTTTCATCTTTATAATATTAGTATAGATATAAATCTACAGTGGTTTTTACGGATGTAGAAAATACATGTATTTAATGGATAGGCTAATATTTATATGAGTGTTGGACTCCCTAATAATAATGACAATAAATAATAATGTTAATTTTAAATGCCCAGCGAAGCGGGCGAGTACGGCTTGTTTATTCATAATATTGAAGCAGATTGTATTAATTTCGATTCCATTCGATGTTTGGTTAAGTCTAGTAATAATTGTCGAGAGTGTGGGAAAAAAAAAATCAAGCGTTGCTAATTAACTTTTATTGATCCGTTACAGGGATTTGAAATCGAATAACATATTTTTGAGAGATGACTGGTCGGTAAAGATTGGAGACTTTGGACTCGCTACTGCTAAAGTTCGGTGGTCAGGTATGATATAGATATTTATTTTCATATTTATTCTATAATATTTTTTAAATTAATTTAGACTTGGATGGATGTCTTGGAAGGGTAGTGTTATGTATAGATTAAGTCACATTATAGAAGGGCAGGTAGATGCAAAAATAAATCAGTCTGCTTTGGAATTCCGACTTTCATTGTAATACACAACAGGTAACCTTCATGTTGTCCTGTCTATTCTGTAATGGTCCAGTAACCGCTTAACACCCGGTGGGCTGTGAGCCCATTTATGGGTATTTATCTATAGAAAAAGCTATTTTATAAAATTAAAAACTTACAATTTTAAACATATAATAAATTTCTTGAAATGAGTTGAAGTTTGCAATTTCACGAATGGGGTTAATGACCCTTGAGCTTTGTGCGCGTCCATTGCGCGTTCACCATTTATGAATTACTAAAACGTTAAGTACATACATGCTCGCCTTAGCAAATGACTTTTTTTTGTAAAGAATTTGGCTTCAACGCCTTTGGCATTGATTTTGCCAATGTCAAAGTATTTACAAAAATGACAGGTGCTTAGAGAGGAAAAAAATTACTAAATCTAAATACAGATCAATTTGGTCAGTTTTTCCATACGCGAATCTGATTTTAAGAGCAGCAAATGACTTGTTCTCCGCGGTCGTTACGGTAGGAAGTAGCTTTGGTACCGTTTCATCTCAGGGCGGTGTCCTTGCAGACCTTGTACAGTATACACTGATTTTCGTTGGAAATCAAAATAAATAAGTGAGCAAGCTGTTGAACTGATGCGTCAGAGTCGTCGTCGTCAGGCGGCGTGCAGTGGCAGCAGCCCACGGGCAGCATCCTGTGGATGGCGCCCGAGGTGATCCGCATGGAGGAGCCGGCGCCCTACACGTTCCACTCGGACGTGTACTCGTACGGCGTGGTGCTGTACGAGCTCATGGCGGGCGAGCTGCCCTACTCGCACCTCAACAACAAGGACCAGATCCTGTGGCTGGTGGGGCGCGGCCGCCTGCGCCCCGACGTGCGGCGCCTGCGCCCCGACGCGCCCGCGCAGCTCAAGCGCACCTTCTCCGAGTGCGTCGCCTTCGACCGCGCCGCGCGACCGCTCTTCCGCCAGGTACCGCACTCTTACAACTCATGGCACTCAACACCAGGTGGGCCGTCACCTCGTCCACCCATCTGAGCAATAAATAAAAAACTGTGCCTGACCGCGAAAACTGAAAAATATTTAAAATAATGTTTTTTTTTATTGCTTAGATGGGTGGACGAACTCACAGCCCAACAAAAATTACCAGAGAAAACTTTTTTACACATTCGACAATAATAGTAATCGGAGAGCCAATTTCCATAGACCTCGCACAGACTTCCATGAGCGAGGGTGACTATTTTTTTTATTGCTTAGATGGGTGCACAAGCTCACAGCCCACCCGGTGTTTAGTAGTTACTGGAGCCCATAGACAACTACAACGTAAATGCGCCACCCACCTTGAGATATGAGTTCTAAGGTCTCGACGCTTTTTTTTTTTTTTTTTAAATTGACGCTTGAAAGGCAACCGTGGCTAAGCGACAATGCGTGAACTTTACAGTAACACTAATTCAAAGTTGAAATACCAGAAAAAAATCTAAACGAATCTAGCTGTAGGATTAAAATGATTTTAATGGACTTAGAAATAAATTTTTTATTGCCTATCATTAATGTACAAAGCAGTTATTGTCGCTTAGTCACGTTTGCCCTTTGCCTTTTGCCACGGCTGCCCCACTCTTCAAACCGAAACGCATTACTGCTTCACTGCAAAAATAGGCAGGGCGGTGGTACCTACCCATGCGGACAAGTGTTCCTACTAGTACTAGTACTACTACCACTAATAGTAATAGTGAGTGCGAGAAGGGAGCGGTGTGTAAGGCGCGTGGTGCGGCAGGTGCTGGCGGCGCTGGAGGCGGTGCTGCGGCTGGTGCCCAAGATCACGCGCTCGGCGTCGGAGCCCGCGCTGTCGCACCCGCACCCGCGCGCCGCGCTCGACTACCTCGCCTACTCCTGCGCCTCGCCCAAGACGCCGGTCAACTTCCACTTCAACGCCGACACCAGCTTCCCCGCCTTCTACGGGTCAGTCTCGCCCATCTCACCCCGCCTCACCCCACCTCACCCCATCTCGCTCAACTACCGCGACAGAGTACACACCGTACTGTTATACGGATTCGGGACTTTCCCTTTTTAAAAAAAAAAAGAAATTTTCACAAAACACGGTTTATTGGCTTTAAATTAATTATCGATTAAATATAGGATATTGAAGGATACAATTTTCGAGTTAAACCAACACCGTGTTGTCGCGACGGAGATCGAAAATGGACTGAAGCTATTAGGAACTATGGTTTACTGCTTGCCACTGAAAATACTGACAGCAGAAAAATAAGGGCGTGTTAGCAGTAAAGGACGCAGGGCCGTTTTATAACAGTACGCTTCCCGCACATTCAGAAGCTGGGTGATCAATGACTAAATATCCTGGAAAGCAACGTGACCAATGGCTCCAAGTACCGGCTAGAGACTGGAACGTGCCGCACAAAACATCACAGATAATACACATAAATTAGTTAGTAGATAGATGCAACTCAACAAAAATGTTTACGGGCGCCGGCCACTAGATGGCCTCGCTTCGATTAGTTTCTCATTGCTCCTGTAGATGGCAATAACATACTAACTATCCTATATTTTATTTTTAATAAAGCATTTTCTAAATTTTCTGGAATCACAAATTGATAAAATTTAATTGAATTGTTTATAACAAATAGATTTGTTAGATTTTTTTTTTGTTTGCCACGTATCATCCGGCTTTGGAATGAACTCCCCTCTACGGTATTTCCCGAGCGCAATGACATGTCCTTCAAACGAGGCTTGTGGAGAGTACTTAGCGGTAGGCAGCGGCTTGGCTCTGTCCCTGGCATTGCTGACATTCATGACCGACAGTAACCACTTACCATCTGGTGGGCCATATGCTCGTCAGTCTATACGACAGTAAAAAAAATTACAAGCTAAACTTTTTTTGACTGCCCAAGTTAGTCAAAATGATTTTAAATAGCAAAACTTATTTAATGATAACGTTTCGTTACATTCCAGAATCCCAGTACCCAATCAGAGGCACCCCTAGGAGCACGGCGCGCCCGCCGGCCCCCTCGAGCCCGGGGCTCCGCCCCCCTGCGGCCTGCAGGCCCCTCACGGAGCGCCCGCGCCCCATGCGGATGATCCAGTGATAAATACACGCACAGATGATAAATTACTTGATTTAATTAAAATATGACATAATTTGTTAGTACAACGTGTACAACATGATTACGCCGTAATGCGTATTAATGATTAAGCCTGCATATTAATAAACTAAATAAAATGAAAAATATCTGGCAATTACAAGTTGAGAAAGCAAAATATTTTAAAATTCTCAGAGAACTCAGAGGGTCAACCTTTAGTGAGATTGGTAAATAATTTTAAGCAAGACAAGTGGCTACTTCAGTCTGGAAAAATAAAAATTTACCTTTGGTCTGTGTGACAAGGCTCCGTGCCAAGATGAACTTCATATTCTGTGCAATGAAATATGTGATGAAACTACTATACCAGTATTTACTTACTTGAGATATAATTTGGAATTCCAACGAGCTAACGAAGCAATAGGATGGAGCAACTTAAATGTACCTACCGCAGTACAATCTCAGGATTACATATGTCAATGACATGGTCACTGAACATACTTTGAATTAAAAAAAAATATTTTGCAACTATAATAGTTTCATAAGCCCAGTGATCTAAGTGAACTTTATGAAAATACATAGTTCAATAAAAACGTCCAGGACAGAATCCATCCACATCACTTGGGACATTCACATTCAAATGTTGTTAGAAAGTGTAGGACTTTGGAATGTGTTGTGTTGTGATAAAGTGAAATGATAGTGCGGAAAATGCAGAGTACGTGTCTACTAGGAGTGGGTAATATCGGTTTTGCCGCGTATCGAAACGTATCTATATATCGAGGATCAATATCGGATATTGAATCTATATATTTTCTGAATCTATATATTGATGGATGCTAGTAGATTTTCTCGATTCATGATATTTGAGATTTGAAACGATACGCTGATATAATATCGTAGTAGATATAGATTTAATTCAACGTTATACGGTTGGTTTTCTGATATAAATTTATAATATGATCTTAAAGTAATAAAAAGAACATCAAAATAAAAATATCAAAAAAACTTTCCTTCATGCTTTTACCAGGCTTAGGACTGGCTACATTATTTTCAGTTTTTAGTATTTTGTGTTTTAATTTAAAATTACAAAATATGTATACCAAAAGAGTGTAGATTTCAAAAGTTTAATACAAACACAAGAAATAAACTCAATTATTTGGATTCAACTAAAAATAGAAAAATGTGTACTTTAAAAATCAAACACAAAAAACTTTTAAGTATTTATAAACACTTGTCCAAAAATTCTAGTTCAAGGTCAAAGCGCGTGAAATTAAATTCAACGATGCAAATAGGCTATACTGCATTCAAGTTAGGGTCGAAAGTTGAAACTTCTTTCCTTAATTGTATCCTGCTGATACGCTAAGAATAATCTACAGACATATGGACTTAAATATAAGGTTTACAATTGTATGGATAATGCCTGTTTCTGTTTCATTCATCACATGATATCCCTATCGTGCGCTCACTCACTCTGGCCGATTCGATACGAACCAAACGAATATTGCTGATATTAACGAATCGGTACGATATGCCGATGCGCATCACATCGAGCAATATCGTGTATCGGCTGATATCGAAATATAGATTTCGATTCACGAATCGGTACGATATGCCGATGCGCATCACATCGAGCAATATCGTGTATCGGCTGATATCGATATATAGATTTCGTGCGGGGCGATATCGGATTCAACGATATTGCTGCGATATATAGATATTGAATCTATATACGATTTATATCACCCACTCCTAGTGTCTACATAAGCATATGGGTCAACTTGAAGGAAGTCTTACAGTTTGTAGACTGTAACATAGTGAGGACTTGTTTCAAGATTATAATAAGATTATATTCCGAGGAGTGCTGAAGATCCATGTAAGGTGTCATGACGCGCGGCCAGTCTCATCCGTGTGCTAACCGAATACAGACGAAGCGACACAAATACAACCTTAAATAAATAAATAGGCAGGGACAAATGTTACAATGCACATGGAAGCTTCACTCCTAGAGAAGATAATTGTCCAGCCATCAAGCTTGGGTCTGGCCTGCTTCAACGAAAACTATAAATGGACCATTTATTTTGAAAGTGGTGTAAGTCCATTTTCTTTTGTTTCGAGAAAATTAAAGGTTACTATATTTGTTGATTTAAAAATACAGGCAAATCATAATATGAGGTCTGGCTATGCCTGGTTAACTGTTAGGAACTCGTAAGCTGTCCAAAGGAATTACTTTATATGGCACACACAGTTCTCAACCTCCCTGGGCTGGCGGGCTCTCGCTATGACGGTTCGCAAATGACTCAAACATAATCAAAATTCAAAGGTCACAGAACTAAATATCGACGTAACCTTGCTTCGTCAAACAAATCCATCAATTTCTCCATGAAAACGCCATTAATGAAGAAATCACCAAGACCTACAAAATACAAGGACAGGTTCGGTGGCCATACATATTCGAAGAGACTCGGGACGCAGAGGATATCGAACGTGAATAAATGGTTACGCTACAACAGATCTACTCACAGTTTTTTTTTATTGCTTAGATGGGTGGACCATATCACAGCCAACCTGGTCTTAAATGGTTACTGGAGTCCATCTACAACGTAAATGTCGCCACAAACCTTGAGATATGAGTTCTAAGGTCTCAGTATAGTTACAACGGCTGCTCCACCCTTCAAGCCGAAACGCATTACTGCTTCACGACAGAAATAGGCAGGGTGGTAGTGCCTACCGGGGTAGGCTCGCAAGAGGTCCTACCACCAGTAAAGAATTGCTAACACTAGCCCTAGCTAGAGCAGCAGAATCTACCAGCAGTTCTGAATCGCGACCCACTGACAAGATCCGGCGAGAAACTCAGCGGGCTTTTGAAACAAGTATTTATCTAAGACATCATCATATAAAGAATCCTAAGCCAAAAGTAAATGATGATACGTTAACACGTTGAAGGCTTTACGACCCACCGGTGGGCATAGCGTACAGTATCATTCGGGCCAAACCAAAATCAGGGAATCAGTATTTTTTATCAACATTCAAAAAATAAAAATTTTTTATAAGGCTATTTTAATGTTAGGTGCCCGACTGGCATGAGACTCTCGGGTTGTCAGTTCCGGTATCGATCGGGGACGCGTGTATTCCGCTTCAAAGTCTGGCGCGCACTAATTGGGGGTGCGAATGATGCAACAGATGCGCGGGCGCGGGTAGCGCGAGGTGAGTCGTCGCGGCACGGACCTGAGTCACATTCCTTTTGGCTACTGTTGCCCCGCGAAACGGAACGCTGCGTTACACTATTAACTTTGATAAAAACTGCAAGTTTCTATTGGATTTGAAAACTACGCCGTTCGGTTTGACTAAAGGACAACGCGGTTCACTTCCATACGCGTTTTGTTTGCCAACTGCAATCTGTGGCTTGTAGGAAGCGTTTACGTTGGAACCCTCACGCGGCTCACGGGCGACCCTCACAGTCCAAACGGTTCAGTAAGACAAAGCTCACCGGTGAGCACCGAAATGAAAATACTCGATCTTTCATATCGCGTTCAACGTGTTAAAGAAAGCGCTTTCTCGCTTTGTTTGTTGAAGCTATTTACAGAGACACTTCTTACACTTCACACTTACTGAAAAAATAAATAAAAGGCATAATATTCCTAATTGATTTCTGTTTATTGAGCATTTTATAGTTATCAATTGTATAACGCTCAACTGTTACTCAAAAACACTGCTAAGCGAACCGAATGTTTTAAGTAATTATGTATCGTGTAAATTAATTTTTAGCCAAAACTTGTTTGTATCTGTCTTTACAATCTATTGGTTTGTAGGGTAGTAAATAAATACTGCATTTAATTGCTTCTCCTGATTTCACAATGGGTTATAAAAAGAATCGTAATAAACAGAAAAATCACGAATCGTAAGCATTATAGAGACGTTTGCGAATTAACGGAATTTACAAATATTCGTCAAGATAGATACTTTATTGTAGAATCAAAATATTATCGCTCTAATGTCATTGAAGAAGTTCAGAGGGGCGAGCACGAATGACTATCGATAAAAAATGTTATAGGATTTAAACAGCGCCCCTACTGTCCGTAAAATGAATTCATTTCAGTAGGTACCACGAATGAATTTACTTACATCCTTCCGTTTCGTAATCGTATCGTCGCGTTCTAGAAACTCGAAACTTATACTCTTAACACGTTGACTGGAGATCACCGGTGCCCTACGCGGCGCACTGAAGTGTAATTATGTCGATTTCTCACTTCGACAATCTTATTACTAAGGTGCTTGAATACCTAGTAGACTCTGGGAAAGACGAATCCGAAAACACTGAGACTGAATCTATTTCTATGAGACCTATAAACATGAAATATACATTAACAAACAAAAGGAGGCAAAGTTAAGAAGTCCACTGTGCTTAGTGCGAGTTTTTTAAAGTTCTCTCATATATGTATGAAATGGGATCGTTTGCCTACGTTTCCCGCAGGGGCGCTATTCCAACTGCATATAAAATTGAGTTAACTTTCACGCTATCGCGAACGTTAAAAACTCGCACTAAGCACACAGGCGTCTTAGTAAAAGAAAACGAGATAATTACTTCAGTGCACCGCGTAGGGCACCGGTGACCTCCATAACAGTCAGAGTTAATCGAGAGCACGAAAATTGTTTTGACACACGGAACGTCAATCACGAAGGCTGGCTATCGAGTGCCACCATCTAATTTAATGATCCGTGCATCGACGACTCGATACATTTATATTACGAATTCTATAGATTTTCGGGCTCGATGTACTGTATTGTAGTAGATTACAGTAGGCTATGTGCGAGTTTTTTAACGTTCTCGATAGCGTAGAAGTTAACTCAAATATGTATGGGGTTGGAACAGCGGAAAACGAAGGGAAGCTGTTCCAACTCAAATTTGAGTTAACTTTTATGCGATCGAGAAGGTTAAAAACTCGCACTAAAAGCACACTGGTCCGAATATGTATTTACAAAGGAAATAAATAAAAAACTATATATTTGTGAACGTATATTTTCCACTACAATGCTCTTAACATTGTTGACGAGTCGATTTGTACGTTTTATTTTTTTATAAATCAATATTGCAACATCGCCAGAGTGTTGTTACCGCGCGCGACAGCGACTAGGGTGACCAAGCGCGCTCTAGACCGCGGATAGTCTGTAAAACATTCAAATGATATAACGCTGCTACTTTATTATTAAATTTAAGATAAATATTGTAAATGTATACAGCTTGTCACTTTATGGTTTTTTTCATTATTTAACGTACAACAATGCAATAGACAGAACGCATAGGATTTTTGTAAAACAGTTTAGGGATGTAAACAAATAATAAAAATATTTTTTTCATCACTTTCACTAGACTAATTTCCTATAAAAACAGTAATCTTGCACTGAAACAAAATATATTTTTTCTGAATAAATCAAAAGTAGGATATTTTTATATTGCCTCCTATTTGTAATAGTAAAGAATGGTACCACTTGCTTCCTTACTGTATGTATTATTGAAGTATTATTTGACGATTGTGAGACGGTCGCTACGAGAGGTAGTATTGGTTGCTATCATATTATTATGATCTTACGCTAGCTACTGTTTTGTGAAATTTAATTTATTCCTTAATAATGTAAATAATTAAATGTAATTAGTGTAGCTTACTTAATGTATAAGGATCTTGTGTATACAGTCTAATTTTAATGTATAACTACATACTTTTAAGA